ATATATGATACGACACAAGGGGGGTGTCATATCTACCAAACATCCCCCTTGTATATGCCACTGATATTGTGTATTCCTAACTATGTTGGTTTAATCAAAATTAAACTAAATTATAAAATAATTGTAATAATTGTAAATTCTTGATAGATTAATTAAATAAAATATAAATATTGGATAATTATTATTTTCATGAATATAAATACTATAACTATTATAATTAACACAGGTAACACTAAGAAATATTTATTTTATGCTTAAGTGTAGATCAAAAAAGAATTATGACTTATGATAATGGCTAACCAATAATCAGTAATGACAAACGTTAAAATTATACATGTATGAAAATGAATCTACTATGTACAAAAAACAAATATTATTGATTCTCAACAATGTATTTAAATTTAAAATTATTCGTGAACTGAAAATAGCTTCTTATGATGAATATAAATTATTACATATTTTAAATTTAATAGATGCACATTACGGAGATTGAAATATACTTATCAGATACCACATAGCATAATTTAAAAGGTTTAAATATGTTTCAATACGCTAAATATATGTATTGTATACAAATGATTACATCTTCACCTTGCCTAAGTATAGTATTACTTATGAATTCATGATACATTGAAAAAGTCAACGACCGAATACTCAACGTGCACGAAATTCGATTTATCGGAGTTCTTACTTTATATAGTAAGTAGAGGGTTATACACAACATCGTAATTGTATCTGATAAATAATAATCAGCAAAGATATTACGTCTAATAGTTCTAATCTTATAATGATATACATGTAATTTCTATATAATTTTTAAATAATTTAATATTGTAAATGTAATCTATAGGTAGGCATTTTTATATTAGATAACATTTAAATTGATTAATATGTGACTAGGAAACAGAATAATAGCACAGTTAATATGTGAATTACATTTAAAAATTTTTAAAATAATAAAATTACAAAAAGTTAGAAAAATAAATTTGTAGCGGCTCGCATAATTTTATAATTGATCCTTTATTTTATATTTATATATTTTATGAACGCAACCAGTATTTAAATAACAAGTGTAAAAGCCGGCTTACACGCAACAATCTATTGTACGTTCTATCAAACAAGATTAATCGTATCAAGTAAAACTAAGCGCGTATACAGTAAATCGCACATCTTATTTAATCCAAATGAAATCCAGAGGCGTGTCTAAGACCAAAATTCAAGACAGGCCTGGTTATAAAAAATGTTTGACACTCAACATTACGACGGTGATCACCGACCAAACGACGACGGTCGTGTAATATCCATATAGAAATATGGGGTATTTCCAAGAAGCGCTTGAGAATTGCCGATAAATTTTACGATTATTAATTTTATTTAAAAACAAATATTTATATTGTTTACATCAAAAATATGGTCACACAATTGCCTAGGCAGTATGTTGATGTACTTACATTTTACATTCAGTATTCAGTGTGCTTATATAAATATAATTTTAAAATGCATATTTTGGGTATACTTAAAGGTTAAAAATCAGGTTAGGCCCGGGCTTACCAGGCCTACCCGCTGGACACGCCTCTGATGAAATCCCGTATTGGATCGAAAAACTGAAGGGTACGAATTTATTTAAAGTGAAGTCGTTCCATGTAAATACAGGTTTGATACAGTGTACAGCTTTTTGTACTTCTTTAGTTTAATTATTTCCTAGACTATATAGTTTCAACAACTTAATTTCTTTTTTTTTTTTTTTAATAATTATAATATATTATAGTATATTTGCCAAAATTATCAAATAAATAATATGAAATTTAATTCTAGTTGTATTTTTTGTTTTCTTGCGAACATGTCTAGTAAAACTTACAGTAACTCGTAAACTGGTCTGGACCGCACTAGTGTTTTGTCGAAGACTGATAAAACGCAACCGACGAAACCATGACCGATAACGATCGTTCATACTATGGGAGATGGAAAGTTCCGACACGAAGCATAGCAGATTAAGATTTAAATATGTATTCGTAAGTTCCGACATGAAAAAAAATATACTGGTACATAAGTTCCTACACGAACAAAATTATTGCAATATACAATATGTAATTGGGAATGTCATAACCATTTTGGCCAAGCTTGGTATAGTAAAATTCAAAGCTTAAGTTTAGTCAATAATTTAACAACGCAATTGATAATTTAGAAAAATAGCGGTACATTTATTTTGTTTACCATTTCTTAATCCAACAGAAGTTAGAGATTGTTTTGTTAGTAGTTTCGTGGCTGTAAAACCAAATAATAATAAAATAGGTAGGTAAACAAATTTTGCGATTATTTAGTGACAATTTACATAGAAAAAATAGTACGTTCCCTCTAATAATTGGGATAATGCTAGTTCTTGGAGAAGTCTTACAAAAAATGCTTGTGAAAATTATCATTTAGAATTCAACTCAAATTTTTATCATCATCATTCAAAATAATAGAAGTTTCAAAAATGTTTCAAATATATATATATATATATATATAAATTAGAACATCGGGTACCAATAGACCTCAAAATTAAATAAAATTATATAAACAACAATATAGAAACATAGAATACAATTTAAAATAAATAACACAATATGATTAAGTATATTAAAAGATTGAGTTTTCGTAATAAGCCTCATAAAATTGAATTTATATTATTATTATTATCATTTTGAATATGTATAACATGTAGATGACTACATTAATATATACATTAATATTATACATATATACATTAATATATAAGTATATGGATAAGATTCAATTAAAAATTGGATTAGATTTTTTTACAAAATAAACTATTTCAACCACACCAACTACGTTGTCACGCCTTTGTCGGAATAAATTGGAAAGGAAATTTGTATTCGTTATAAATTGTATTCGTGTAGGAATTTACGTAAACAAAGTCAAGGGTGATTTTTGCCAGCTATTTCTTTTTTGGGAGCTTACATTCGCCCCATATTATGCGTTTTATCGGTTGCCTAAAACTGAACATCCAAATAAATTTGATTAAAAACCACGCGAATCCTTTTTAATATGAAATATATTTTATAAATAGTTAGTTAATAAAATGTTGATTGATTTCAACGAAAGGTATCTTATCTTAACATGCAAATTAAATCAGCTAACATTATTTTAATCATTTCAGTCAAATAATTTTTTCAAAAGACCACAACTAAAAAATAAAAAAATAAACTATTTTTGTATTATTGTGTGAGAATATAGTGCTTCTAAAAAAATAATATTGGTAGTCTATAAATTGCTTCCTAACGTTAGGTACATGTAATGTAAGTACAATTACAAATATACATATAATGTGCCTATAATATTATTCTTATGATCAAACGGAGATGATAAAGTAGTTATACGTGGTACTAAAGACTTCTTAAGAAGACTGCACGTCTGAAGTTATTTTTATGGATTGTACTTTTAAATAAGCTCCGAAGTTATTTCTTTAGATTTACAATTTACATTCTTTTGTGCAAGGAATTATGATACCAATGGTAATTATTCAAGTATTTTACATAAATTGCAATAAATAAACTAACGTTTAGTTAAAAAATGTGATTATTTTATACAATTACAAAATGTAAGAAAAATATTTTCAAAAATTTTAATTTTTTGCAAAATGATGGTCAACGATAAATGAATTACCTTGCATAGTTATAATTAGAGCTGGGATTTTGATACAAATATATTTTTTTCTAATGCTTCAACACAAAGGTCCATAAGCAAAAAATATGTTTCAAGTGATACTGGTTAATTTAATGTAATATTTATTTTGCATTTTTTTGACAAATTTAACTATAAATTCATTTTTAGGGCATATTTAGCTGTTTATATGACTTATTTCAAGTTTATAAAGCATTTTTCAGAATTTATCTATTAATTCTTAAATATTAAAATATTTGATCACGCGTTTTGGGGTTTGTTTGCACAAAACTTTCACGTTTATTAGGTAATCTACTAAATTGATAAACTTATAAACACGAGCATATTGCCCAAGTACATATTTTATCAAAAAATATAACACAATTAAAATGATCAAAAGAAATTTTTCCATTTGCAAGAGTCCAACAAAGATCAAATTTAAATAAAGTTAAATAAATATAATTGAATATGTTTGGTAACATGATTTTTATAATATAATTTTTAAATTTATAATAAATACATTCTTAACGCATTTTTTATAATTCTTATAGCATTTTTGAATTTTTCGCTATTTTTTAGAACATTAAAATCCGAGCCCTAGTTATAATAATAAATATGAAAAAAATTTACAAATATTAACTACATACATACTTAGTTAAGGTGATTCAATGATTATAATGTTAAGCTTTAAGTTAATAGTTAACAAACATTATACCTATTTATTTTTTAGCCTTCTTATTTAGGAGTATGCACTCTTACCAAATAATACTTCCGTAACATACAAACAAATATTTAATTTAAATAAAGAAGTCGCAATTGAAATAGATTTTATATTCCATCCTAAATGTTTTCAAATTGACTTTAAAATTGGAATGGTTATGGCAATTAAAGAGTTATTTGGGCACCAAATTAAAACAAAAGGCTGTTTGTTTCATTTTGAACAATCTATATGGCCCAAGGTATAGAACTTATGACTATCTGGGGAATATAAAAACAATGTCAAAGTTAAACTAACTGTCTATTTATTATTTATTATTTATATATTTTATATAACTGAACTGAACTTTGTCAAATTGAGTGTTGGCAAACTGGGAATACAACATTCCACCTCTACATCATATTTATACAACGTTTAATAGAATATATGTACAAATCTAACAATTTTACTAGCTCAGTTCAAAAACTTTTATTTTTTTCTGTGGTGAAGAAAATGGATAAAGGAAGTGTAAAATATTTTCGAAGTCTTGTCCAAAAAATACCATTAAGTAATATATTGATCATTATTATTGTTAAAAAAAATTCATTGAGTGTGTAGTATGTAAAAAACAACACTAAAATAGTTACAAAAAAATAAATTACATGTATAACGAGTGTTATGATTTATGAACGGAACGACAGCATTGTAAAAACAATAAAATAGTCACCGAACAAAGAAATACAAAAAAATATTTCTATATATATAAAGTTAAATCTTCATTATCGTCTATTTTGTGGACGTACATTCTATTGTACATTTAATAACCATTGTACGCGTGGCCGTATCACAGTTGCTCCGTTGTCGTCCCTCTGTGTTCCGGTTCAAACTGGAGCTTCTGTTCCGTCTCGTCGGCGGTAGTACATTGATTCATAAGTTTTGCTAGCGTTTTTTTAACACGTAGAGCCGGAAGTCGAGCGTTAGGATTGCCGTGCCAGCATTCGCGCATTGTCACCACTACAGCGTTCATGATCTGTACACATTCAACAATATTTGTTTAATAAATATTTCATTATAAGCCAAAAATATATTATGAGATCCTCATAACAATTGCCACTGAACAGATAAGAGCTACACTAATAATATCCGTCCGTAAACCGCAATATAACTAAGACGACGAATGTTGTATAAATACGACTTCGGCTATAATTTTATCAATATTTCGTATAATAATTATATATACTTATGTATAAAAATTTTACAGCTCACATTATCCAAATGGTTTATAATATTCAATGAAACATAACAAAATAAATAAAAACATAATCAATAAGTTGTTACTTAAAATTAATAACTTATTTAACCTGATCAAATGATTAAACCAGCGGTTACCTAACTGTGCACCGTGAGAACTTTCTAAGGGCACTGCGGGCTACGGTTCATAACAAATAGTTTAAAATGTATAAAATTTTTTTTCCTTATTGTTTTCGTAAAAACTTTATAGCAAATAATGTAATATTTTCTATTGTATATTCGGGACATTCTCATTTTAACTTTATAATATTTTTATGTAATAATTATAATCATAATAACAATAATTTTTATTTATTTATTTTTTAAGTTTAAAAATGCATTCATTTATAATTAAGTTAAATATTAATAAAATTGGTTATCAATGAGTATTTTTATTGTTCTGTTTTTTATGTTATTCACAGCAGGGCCCGTGGCTAAATTGGGTTCAAAAAAGCACTGTGAAAAAAAAAAACTTTGGAAACCGCTGGATTAAAGGATCCAATATAAATAAGCTTATGAAAAAGGTCATGAATAGAACAAAGTTCAAAATTTAGATCCAAAACTAAATCTGTCTATACCTTACGTAACACTGAAAAGTTAAAATGTATTTATCAAACATAATTTTGGTTTAAACTTAAGCTAAAATCTTATAGTAATTCAAATAGCGATCTGGCAGATTATTAATAAAATAATCATCATCGAAAATAATGAACAATACGAGTATAGATAAAAAAAAATTACCGGGTCGGCCAACCACTCATTGGCTATGCCAGGACGGCTCATCACGGGATCATCAGAGCACACAATACGACGCATATCATCAAATCCAGGATCCCAGCCTACTCCGCGATCTTGATATGGGGCGCGATACACAAACGGATCGTAATCGTTAGAAGGTGCAGCAAGTTTCTTCTCCGATTCTTCATTATTTTGTTGACAGTGTGAACTACTTTCGGCGTCATTACCAGTAGAAATGAGCGTTCTGGACAGCACTTCCCACATGACGAGTGCGTAGGAATAAACGTCACCACGGCGGTATGCATCAAAGCACCAGTACGCCGAAGACGACGTAGATGTCATTGAGGACGCCGATGCCAATGCCAATGAAGCTGCAGACGTTATGCTGTAAACGATAAACGAGAACGTTACCGTGTTGAAGAGTACAGATTTAAAAAATATGAATAATATCCATTTAGGTAAATTGACAAACACTAAATATTTTCGGCTCTTTCTTACCTGTCGTCTAACACTTCTGGCGCCATGTACCGCTTGGTTCCCACTCTTGTATTCTGATTGTTACCTACGGCGGTGGTCGTTTGAATAGGAAGTGTGGCGTCTCGACTGGTGACCGCCATTCCAAAATCGGCCACACAACACGCACCCGTTCGCGCGCATTTAACAAGCACGTTTTTGCTCTTTACGTCACGATGCGCGATACCCGGTTTACCCTATTTGAGAGAAAAAAAAAACAACAAAAATATGTGTAAAAGTTATTGAAATTATCATCAGTCGACGAATTAAATTGATTATTGGAAGGTCATCACGAGTCATTCAACACGTATAAAAGTGACAAAACGGAAATAAATACGGGTAAATATCATGTAAACAGTACCTGTGTGCCGTGGATCTCGGTGTGTAAATGACACAGCCCGCTGGCAACCGTGTACAGCACGTTTAACATTTGAATCATTGTGAGTGGTGGTCTACCGCAATCGATTTGCTGGGATCGCCCCCCCGTCACGTCACTGGCGCCGACTTCGTAGCCAATGCAAGTAGTTTCTGCAGCTCCAGGTGTCTGCAGGAAATCGTATAAGGATCCGTACTGGTGGTAATGAGTGATGAGCAATAATTGCGTGGTGTACGAGTTCCTCGAAGTCATTATATCGGAACCAATGAAGCCTAATATGTTGTCATGTCTCATTAGGACGGTGCTAAAAATGTAATCGACAATTGTAAAATTAATATTAATATTGTGGTTCGCGCTTAGACAATGTACAATCAGTAAATGTCACACACTATACATGTCTCGCGTTTCGTGTTTTCACATTTTCGTTTAATTTTGTGAATAGTGTGTACAGCTTTTTTACGAAAACGTTTTAATTGAAAACTATTTTGCAGTGTTTCGCGAACGAAGCGGTAAAAAGACAAAATCAATAATACGAAAAAATAGTTTCGTATGGTTTCGTGTTGTTTCACGTTACATGTTTTCGTAAACAATAAAATTGTAGTCCACCATCTTCGTGCTTTTGGTTTTTTTTTTTTTTTAATTTTGAAGCTAATGCTTTATAAATTCCACCAACAATTGATAATTAATTTTCTCAATCATTGTTAATTTTTATTTAAATAAAAAGGCACAAATAACTTATATATTGACAAGAACTAAATGTACTAAATAATAGTAAACTAAAAATTGAACGAAACACAACGAAACGAAAAACATGCATGAGGAGCGACCTAAATAATAGTAATAATCAAGACTCGAAACTTTAGCGCTAAAAAGTATTCAAATGCGCGTTAAACAACATAATAATATGCGGTATAACATGCAATAAAAATTTGGAAAATGTGCAATTTATTGAATAAAAAATAATTTATATATATTGGGTATATGAGAAAAATTATTTTATTTTTTAAAAATAAATAAATTTATTACACATATTAAATGCTTTCCTCTTTTATTTTTAGTCATATAAGCCCTTATTTTTATATTTTTTAATAATCTATTTATTATATTCTATAGCACATATATGCACGGTATTATTGGTTTACGATCTAAAATTAAAAAATAAAGCAGCAGTTGATTATTTGTAAGGAATTGTTTTAATTGATATTTCACGTCATGTTAATAATATTAAATGTTAATACATTATTTATACCGGGTTGTTTTAAATAATTTTTTAAAAAAATTAAATTAATATTTTATTAATATATTATATTATGCCTATTTTATTTATTTATTGTATTATATTATAATAATATAAAATATCATGAGTGCAAGTACAACAATAAGTTGTACAAATTGAAGACAGTTTCTAAATAATAATAAAATAAGAATTTGCATAGTCCGTGTTTAAAACGATTACAAAGTATCGTAGTAAACAAGTATAAGAAGCTTGATGATTGTTTTATTCGGATATCTATTTCTATAGAAACGTCGCGCCAATAACGCGTTTGTCCGTTATTGTAATCATTAGGGCCCGGATCTATATGCTCTAAAAACCACAAAAATATGCACCATAAAATAAGCATATATGCTCTTATTTTGTAGGAATTTACCATACAAAATAAAAAATATGCAAAAAAAAAACTAAACTAACAAAACTAAACCACCTGAGAAAGGTATAAGAAATACCTTTTATTTGTCTATTATATAATTAATGACATCATTATATGTATATTATATATAATCTCATGTGCTTTAAGAGCAATACTAAAAAAATAACCATTGACGAATTTAATTATTTTGTCAAACGATATAAAATTTAGAATTTTGGTTCTCATATATCCAATATTTTTTGTTGAACTATATTGAACTATAATTTGTAAAAAAAATTGTTTCGTGAAATCTATGGAATATACATGTAAGAGTTCTTAAATCTAAAATGTGCAAATTCCTACGAAAAACAACAAAGTATACAAAATGTATGCAACAAAAATGTTTGTACTTGAAATCTGCGTATTATGGATCGAATTTCTATCGAACCAGAATTTCAATATGTACTTTCTAAACAATTATGTAAATACCTAAAGTTCCGAGCCTTGCGGTAATAATAATCTACACTCATAAGTACAAATCATAAAACGAACGATACTAGAAGATTATAAAATGTAATAATAAATAAATCATATTAATCACCTGTAGATTTCCGTTTCACGTTTCCATGACGGTTCGTCCTTAGACAAGAAAATCTTAACGGCCACATGCTCGTGACCGCCATTCCAATACGTAGCACGCCACACCTCGCCGTATCGACCCTTACCAACCAGTTGCCGGAGTTGTATCTGCTTGGCCAGAGTACGTTGAACCAATACGGGCATGCCGTACCCGCTTCCGCTGGTCCAGTCTTCTTGCTCGTTATCTTTTTGACGACGGCCGTTCTGTCGTTGATACGGTGGCGGCAAAAAGTCTTCGTCAACAGTGGACTCGATAAAGGCAGTTGGTGAGTAATTCGTCGGGTACGGAGGTCGGCGACTATTACTACCAAACGTATCGTCTCCGTCGACGGTCTCGTCGTTGGCCACCACGACACCTTTGAGCAGATCGACCATGGTCAAAGCGGTCGCGGGACGTTTTCTACGCATCTTGCTGGGTTTTCCTTTGCAGCAAGACGATGACGATATCATCGACGATAATGACGACGACGACGACGACCTTGACGAACACGACAAATGTTTATGTCTTTTTTTATCACTGTCATCGCTATGACCGCCGTCTTCGTCGTGATTATGGTTTTTTCTCCTCTTGCCCCTCCGGCGTCCACTGCTGTTCCTATGCTTTCTCCTGTTCTTTTTACTGTCATTTCTGAATAACACGACGACCACCACCGTAACTATGGCCATGATGATGACCACAAACAGTAATGCCACCATCGAGATGGACGACCAATGCCACCAGGAAAGCAGCAACGAGTCGTTGCCTAATAAACCACCACCAGGCAATAACGGCAGTGACGGGAAAGGCCCGTCGTTGCAGCGATTGCGGCCGGCACAACATTCGATCGCGTAACTGGGAGGTGGCTGGGATTGCTCTTCATCGGCAGCTGCTGAGGAATAAGTGTGCGATGACGTCCATACCGTATACGGCGGTTGTTGTACATTATCGTTATTTTTGGTGGCCGTTTCGTTAATTCCACCGACAACAGGAACAGCACCCATGCATGGATGGAGTAGATGGTGAGCCGAATGTCTGTCACTGCCATCACTACCGACACAGCCACGACTAATACGTATTCGACCATCACGCTCACGTACTTTCGCTTTCCAGCACTGTAAAATGCGATAACCAGAAAAAAGAAAAAGCTTTAAAATTAGGATCACGATACTTAAAAAAAAAGTAACCAATAGCCGCGTATATGTTACATATAAGAGCCGAACCGATAAGGATAATAATTGAGACGGAGTACCGAACGCCCAACAAGCCGCTCTTATCAATCCACCGAAAGTAGTTTTTGATCAATACAATGCGAACCTAATGTAAGTTGATACGATGCGTCGACAGGTCCATCAATTTTACAAAGTACTTACTTACGCTAGTATCGGTAGTTCAATATGGGCTCGTTGTCGGTATAGGTATAACGAGGCATTAACGATCATGACACGAACACTTCGCGTTAGGTTCGACTCGTATATATATATATAAACGTAGCTTATCGAAATATTTACAAAAAATGTAATTATATTTAGATTGGTCATATTCGTAGCATTAAAAATATTTTTTGGGCGAAACTTGTTTTATTCTAATAAAAACACATATTCAATGTTGAGAGCTTTTAAAAAAATTGATAACTATAAGATTATTAATTAAAGCGTTTTAAAATTTTGTTGCTATTAAGTGGTATAATTTTTAAATTGCAGTTTATGTATAATTACTTAAAACTTTTTAATAACGATTAATAATTAATTCATGTTATCTGTCAAAAACTGAAAAGCCCCATAAGAGACCCCTGTATGTCTGATGTCCCATGTACAAATATTCAACCGATATACTTAGTTGTAGTAAAAACATTTTAAGTACTATTAAACTTCACTGTTCTTGGAAAAAAAAAACTGATGCAGTTGATACAGGTATCTTATATATACATATATATTTTTAAATACAGACCAATAACGATCAGAATCTATAACGTATTTCCGTGTAATTATCTCTTATTATTATTTTTAACACTTCATAAATCACACTTGTGTCATATTCCGGTAAAACTGATTAAGCCGTAGGTCATAATATTGGTCATGTTTTTTTGAAAAGAAAAAAAAACCGATCAAAAGAGCGAGATCACTGATTAAGATATGACTATTAAACGTTACTGACGCAGCAAGAGGTCTGATATATCATGACATAGACGGCGGTGACGATGATATAGTTAGGCTCTAACTGTAAGGGTCTCGAGGTGGTAATAAATACGATTGTAGTAGAAAACTATTATACTCACGCGCATTGCTCCGGAGCATACGTTTTGTTCTACATCTCCGTCGGTACCCTTGTCACTGTCTCGTTGCAGTGTCGGTGCACCGTCGGGAAAGCAATACGATTGTTCGTCATCATCGGCGTCACGCTGTTCGTGCCACGCAGGCAACACACCCGTACAAAACGAACACTGCAGCTGCGAAGTCCCCAAGTGTTGACGTCGGCCGCTTTCAGTGCCCCCCATCATCGGCGACAGGAGCGATGCACCCTCATTGCCGTGGTCTACTTCGTCATCATCGTCACCATTGTTTTCTATTTCTTGTTCGGCCAGTATCATGGCATTGTACAGTTCAACGGACGAAGATCCGGAAGTACTCACTCGTTTTACCTGCTGTCCAGTTGGTCCTAGTTCAGCTGTTGAAACCAATTTGCCTAAAAAAATTGGTAAACAATTTTAACTTCGGCAAGTTTTAAAATGTACACCACAATGTGTGCAAAATAAACGCTATATGCACGGAAATATTAATTTCCATTACCACAAGTTCGTCGGTGCGAAATCGTTTGGGGTATAAGCGATGCAACTAAAAGTTATTTAGAGCTTTCTACATACATATAGAAAAGTTAAATACCTACCACGAGTAAATTTATTAAAAGCTATTCCATTGGGCAGAAAAAATCCCAATTTTATAAAAAAAAAAAAATAAGAAATTGGGAGTTTCATACAATAGATAAAACAACAAGATATAATATCGTGTTCAAAAATAAATTTCTTAAGATTTTCTCAATGTTCAATTAACTTAAAAGTTCCTCTATTTAAACTAATAAGTACTATTGAAAAATGGATTGCACAACAAATCTCGATTGAATCATATACGAGTACACACAACACACACACACATATGTAAACTTTAGGTATTTATGATTAAAATTGAAAAATATGTAAATACATTAAAACAGAATTGTCATAAATTAAATTTAAAAACAAATATTTCCTAATTTTAATTTTATTTAATCTTTCGACATAAAGTTGAAAACTACATATAAATATATCCACAGTATGATAGTTAGGTTTCAGGACTTAATGTCCATAAGTACTCGACCGTTACTGAGTATGTGTGTGTGTGTGTGTGTGTGTGTGTGTGTGTATGTGTCGTGACGCTGTGATTGGCGATATATATTTTTTTTTTGAAATGCACTTTTTATTTTGTAAAGAAATTTCACTTCAAAAATATTAGATCATTAAATATTGAAAATATATAAATATTAGCCGTCCTCTCGTATTCAGCCGCCCGGGGCAACAGCACCCTGTAGCTTCCCCCTTAATACGGTCCTGACTGTATATTGCTGTATATTGTATTGATTTTTTTTTTTTACCATGGTTCAAGCTTTAAATGCATTAATAATTATTTTATGTTAATTTGATTGTTTAAAATAGTTTATACTTATAGGTACGATATAATATGATTTTTCAGATCTTAAGATTTAAAATTACTATAAGATATAAAAACGAAAAAAAAAATAGCAGATTTTTTTGTAAATAACAATTTGACCAATAACCCATACAAAACTATAACTTTTAATCATTTATTATTTAATATAATCGATCAGAATAACACAAAGTACATTATCGTATTTTATCAGGGCTATACATTTCTCAGTACATGTTCACGCTTTCCGTTATATAGTGTTCGTGGTGTCGAAATAAAATTATTATCATATTTTAATTTTAACGATTTAAAATGGAGAACATTTTTAGCTCCAAATTTTGCGAAAAAAAAGAATTCTATATAATTGATGAATATTAGTTCAGTTACTATAAAATGCATGAAAATGAAGTAGGTACAAAAATAAAAAAAAATACAAAAAAAAATTAAAAACATTGGACTGGCAAATGAATATAAAAATAAATCAGAAAGGTTTATTTCTTATAATTTATTAGGTCCTGTCATTTTTACCTCCTGAAATGTCAAGTAACGTATTTGCCTAAGAAATCATTTCAATCGTTATGGCAAAATTTTTAGAATTTACTGATTACATATTAGACAATTATATATCTGAAAATACTCAATTTCCTCCAAGTATGTAGGCACAATATTAGTCTAGTGTACAATGAACAATAAACGCATGTGAAACATTTCATTCCAAATTATTTTATGCTATGTTTATGACTTATTTGTGCTGGGACACGACTTGGCTGTCTCAAAAGGTACTTTTGGAAACAAATAGGCTATGACCTTTTTTGGTGGGGCGCAAATTACCTACTGATAATAATCTCAGACGCAAGTAGTATGTACCAGTATTTTTAACTTTCATTTGAACAACTATGTTGATATTATTCAAATAATAGTTAGAAAAGCAATTTTTGAGTAAATATTTAAAAATTTATCCTTCTATATATTCATAAACAATAATTGAACCATATAGATTGATTTAGTACTTCACATTTTAAGTTTACATACATTTATAAATTAAATGTGTTAAAATAATAAATTTCAATTTCTTAGGCCCTAAAACTAAAAAGGATACCATTTTTATACTTCAATGTAGTATGATAATTACATAGTATATAATAAATTATTGACTAATACGATTTCATAACATATAAGTATCAGCTTTTAAACTCATTAAGAATTATATTAATTTAGTATTATTATAAGGTTAACACACTATAGAAAAAAGTATACTAAGGAAAATTAGAAATAATTTTTTTAATATGAGCCAACAAATTTTAATTATCTATGAAAATTATTTAAATTATAAACATAATAATAAAAAAAACAAATAATACCTACAGACATAACTTACATAAAAAATAATATTGTAGTTTATTATTTTAATTGAAATATAATGAGATATATAATTACAGCCAGCAAATTAATATTATATTAGTCTGGTAAATAGATTTCTAAAATGTTCTTTATTCTTAACTATGTCATTAAAATTATTGGCAAATGTTAGTTAAATTGATAAGTTTACTATTTCAAATTAGATAATACAATACTTGTCCATTAATATGCCATTTTATGATGAACATTTATTGATAAATAAATACAATACAACTTGTAGTAAAAGTAAGGTCCGACAAAAAAACCATTGAAAATAAAAGAGTAATAACTACCTGGTAGTACAGCTGCTGTTGTAGTCATAGCCAACAGAATTACTGCTAGGACAACAGTAATAGCAATCATTATCTTGAAGATGAACTGGAATATGTCAATAGCCATTACTGCAGGAGCAGCCTGAGAGGCTGCATCGGAACATCAGTCATAGTTGTTGAGATCGACATTGTCGCAGACAGCGATCGATAGAAGCAACAGTACGAGGGCGTTTAGTTGTTAAAACCGTTAAAGTCATAGCCGTGGTCGTAACCACAGTAGCCCAAGAGGCTAGTAGCAGTGTACGTAACCGATGAAGGAGATGATTGGCTCACTGCCGATGATCGGTGCTTAGAAGTTTAAAGTCAATAACGCCATCGGATTACATTGAAATATAATAATACTGGACAAGGTGTAGGGAGCCCAGTCCTAGAGAAGTATTCAATTAATAAGTAATGAACACGACGTCTACCACCTAGCAGCAGCAACGCAATCGCTGTTCAAAACAATGACACAAATCACTCACGTAAATTGTATTGTGAAGCTTATTGTCCTGTTGCGCGGGCGACGGAAAATTGGACGGAACGCAAAAAGTTCTCAGAGTATCCGCACCACCACACGTAACACTATTGTATTATGCTCGGCGGCGGAGTGTTATTGAACCAAACGCGTTGCACATTGCCCTGGCATAACTTAGGCCTCAGCGCGTAGTGTCGACGGATGTACTGTTAAAAACGGTGCGGAACAAGAGTAAATGCGCGTGCATGTGCGTGTGCGAGTGCGAGTGCGAACGCGAACGTTCATTGTGGTCGTACGCCCGCACGTACATCATGCACACAATAAAGGTTAATGTCGTTAACTCACACACGTAACGCGTAGGCGGGTGGAGCGGTGGTCCAGCGGGGGGTGCCGCTGTGGAATGCGGCGACGGACTCGTGGTGGAAGTAGTGAACCGTCCGAGCAGTCGGTGCGTACCGCGGTCGACGACAGTCCGCCACCATGATGTTCGCCGAGTCACTATCACTGACCACCGCTGTTATCAGCTCCCACCGACGCCGCTGCTATCAATGTTCGCTGCCGTCGTGACTATCTCCAGTCGGGTTGCCGATTACGACTTCAGCGCCGCTGCCGGCATCACCACCACTACCACCACCGCCACCACCACTACCGGCAGTGTCCACGTCACCATCGCGGCAGCTCATCGACGGTGACGACGGTTCAAAACCAGTGCCGTGTGTGTTGTATTTACCAGTAGCCGGCCACCACCACCGGTACGCGTACTAAGTTCGTATGCTCGCATTCGTTTCACGCACGCAGTACGTACACGTACCCGTTCGCCAGTCGAATTGCTGTCTCGTTACTGCCGCGCGGACTCGTATTCGTCCGGGCAAAGTCGGTCATCCCGTTGGCGAGCGATATCTTCAAACGCCGACCGAGGGTGCGATCGGACACCGGTTCGCAGCCTACGTCGGGTTCGTGTGACGACAGGTAACAGCCGTCGGTGCCGAACACCGTAGTCACTCTAGTCTCGACGCCGTCGACGACAACGACCATGAACGCGGCCACGACCGGCATTCCTACGGCGACCACTGTGCTTTTGGGACGTCGATAGCAACGGCGAAAACGATGACCAGCCACCACCGTCACTACTGACAGTAGTCGCAATAGCGTTGTATTGCTGTGGGAATAGAGTGTGTCGTGCGAGCACACCTTCGGAGTCGGATTTCCCGAACGGCCGACTGCGGTAGAGATGACGACTTCTGGCGAGACGACCGCGGCGGCGGCCACAGAAGCTGCAGGCGTGCGAGCCGTGGCCTTAGCGCTGCTCGTCACAGTGGCGTTCAGCTGTGCGTTTTTCTACATGATGCGTTGGGCAGCGTCCACGTCGTCTTACGAACGCCGACGCAGGTCATCGCGTCACCAGCGCGGGAATACGGGTGACGGTTACGTGGCGACGGCGAAGCACAAGAAATCCACGTCGGCCGTTCCCCAGCGAAAAAAGAACAGCAGCGGCAAACATGCAGTTACCAGGCCGACGGCATCTACCAACATCACCGGCACTGTGATCGGTAACAGTCCCGTGAACTCCGGCACTAGAAACGGTGACAAAAAGAAGAGGAGGGCAGCGGCGGATGACGGTGATTCGGTCGGTGCCGTGCGCAAAACGAACATCGCCGCCCCGGTCGCCGGAAGCGACACGGCGACTGACTCTTTTATCAGCAGCAGCGAACGGAACCGCCGGGCTCGCCGACAAAGGCAACAGGAACAGTCCCGCAGCGGTGGCGATAGTTCGACCAACAGCGGTGATTGTAACTCCGGAACAATAACGTCGACGACCACTACGGATAACGAAGGCCATCGTCGCCGCTCGTCGTCCTGGTCTTCGCACAGCCACGTTGAAGAGGATCACCTCGTAGCGGACGATCCGATTGCGGCGAACAACGACCTGTCGTTGTTCGCGGACGATGACCAAGACCAAGGCGAATGGATCACTATGGTAACGTATACGATAATCTTGTAATGCGCATAAGTTAATATTGTGTTTACTAATGTCCAATGTATTTAAATACAATACGTATTGTGTATTGTAGTACCATTAAACATTGTAAACATATGTGTTCGCATTAGCGGCGGCGATAAACTTCGGTAGTTGTGTCCACGCCCTACGGCGGTCACTGTTGTAAAACGTACCTATACAACGAACTGTATTGTGTCTTTCAAACAATAGTGTAATATATTAATGATTTTGCGCGATACAGCATTCGCTGTTGCCTCTTTTTTTCGTTTTCTCTGCCCCTTGTCCACTTCAAGTCTCATAATTGTTCAATACTATTTAATCGAGGAATGACAATCATTTCATTGGAAATTAATAAATAAATAAAAGCTTAGCCCGGAGTATTTATTAATTATACTTCTTGACGAGTATTAATCATTAAATAATTTTTATTTTATAATTTCATTGGAATGGCAACTTCTAAACAACGTGGGAATTGTAATTTTCTTAAACGACATTTAATATGGAACACACAAATGACCCATATTTTATTTTACTGATAAATGTTCATTCTTTTTTTCACGTGAATAATTGAATGTAATTAATTTATTTTATATTCTTTTAATGGTTTTGTCTCTACGGTTTCTAATTTAATATTACTTTAATATTAAATAAATCTACAAAGATAATATCTTTATAATTATTTCAGTCTAGAAATTATTTTGTTAAGAATCGTTCCGACATTGTGGGTACTAATAATTAAATATTTAAGGTCAGGGGCGTGCCTAAAAATTTTTTTCGGGGAAGGGGGATCAATAGTTTTACTATCACGTATTAAAAAAAATAATTTTCACAAGAAAATAATTAATTTAAAGTACTAAATAAATCGATAATGGATTATTAAAAAAAACCTGGCAAATTTTTAAAATATTAAACATAAATTATATTAAGCAGTACTTTTTTAGTAAATTCGTTAAAATTTCGGAGGGGGAGGGGATTGAACACCCAACCTTCCCTCTAGGCACACCCTTTATAAAGTTAATCAAATATTAAATGTATGATATAATTGTCTGCTAAACGTAGTTTACATTTAAAAATTATTTATCATTTTTAATACAGAAATCTATTATATGATTACTAAGTATATTTTTCTAAATACTTTATTCTACCATAATAATATTGTATACCTACATATTAGTCCTATTTGTAAAAAACATTCTTTTTCGTTGCTATTTTATTCGAGTCTTTATATTATCTTCTTTTTTTAAATAATCTTTATTTTATCTTTATATTTATATTAAAAATATTACTAATATTTAATGAAAAGTATTAGTTATTAATATTTTTTTGGTTTGTTAGAAGTTATTGGGTCTATTGAACTATTATAACTATATAACTAACTTGAATTTCGAGTTTAAATATTTCATGTTATTATTTTAAATTAAAATTCATAATTTTTAATACTAAAATTTCAAATTGAATTTAGTATAATGTATTTTAGTCTCTAACGAAACTTGAAAATATCTTATTTAAATTTTATAAAACTTTTCAAAAGTCACTGACAATTAAAGAGAGAAATTTATTCAATACATTATACTGTATTGTAACATTAAATAATTGATGTATGAATGTAAATATTAAATAAATTTAAAAATAATTTCTTCATTATCAATACAAGGCAACCATTTAAAATATTGTTAAAATGTTCGAACATATATAATAAATCACGTTGATAATATATTGTGAATTTGTGTTTTTTTTACGACAAATTTACTTCAATGTCAACAAGTTCTGAATTTTAAATATTTATTATAATATTCTTAAATCTAAATCTAACATGAGGTATTTAATAGATAATTACAAATTTTGAAATATTGAGTAGATATGTTATAAAAGTTCCATTTAAAAAACAATCATGGTATTAATTCATAAACGTTTTGGTAATATTTACTCTCAAGGACTTTTGTAATAAATTATTCATTATTTTTCCTTGCAAAAATATCTCGAGGATGGCAATATGAAATAAGAAATTAATATCTAACTTCTATGTTTTGTTTATTACTTAAATTTGACAAATATAGATTATACAAATCCTTAAAAATTATTTGTAATAATAACTTGTATTTTTTCACTCGCAGACTAATGGTGCACCTGTTACTACATCGGTGTTTGCTAATAGTGGTGTTGGTGAATCAAACAGACGAAAACAGTACCAACGGCGAGAGGAAAATATTTCAACAGCTAATCTATCTAAATTTGAACGTCGTCGGCCCCAGAGTGATAAAGAACAACAGCAATCGGAGAAACAACATCAACGACAACAAGAGAAGCAACGGCGTGACAAGCAACAACGACGACGTGATAATCCGTTACAACAGCAGCAACAAATAACCGAATCGGCTATCGTTACTACATCCGCGACACCAGCGACGTCAGCAAAAGTGGCCACTGATAAGCCACTCCAGCAGAATCGTCAAGATATCAAAAAGTCAATAGCTTGTGAGTCAAATTCTGCCGTTGTAATGACGGAAAAACGATTACGAAATGAATATGATATATCATTAAAAACATTACGAGCCGAGCACGATAAAGATTTAATGGCGTTGAAAGCTGAACACGAAACAATGGCTAAACGACTACGTACAGAAAACGAAGGCTTGCGGTCCAAACATAATGCAGTGGTAGAGCGTTTACGTGTAGCTGAACGCGAAGCTGCGACAACAAAACGATTACGGGCTGAGCATGAAATGGTAACGAAAGCCTTACACGAAGAAAAAGACGTGCAGCTGGCAGCATTGCAAACTAAACACAACACTGCGATAAATGCATTGCGTACGGAGATTGATCATCTGCGAAAAACCGTTGTTCAAGATACGTCGGTGCCCCAAAATACCGTAGATAAGGTGACGTGTGTGGAATATGAAACCATAATCCGTGGTTTGCGAGAAAAAAACGAAAATATGCAAACAGAGCATGATGTCACTATCCAAAAACTACGCACTGAACATGAAACGACAGTCCGAAACCTGCGTGAAGAAAATGAAAAGACGCGCTTGAATCATAAAAGCACGATAAAAGGACTTCGCGCTGAACACGAAACCGCTATGAAAGGACTTCGATCCGAGTACGAAACCGTTATAAAAAATCTTCAGGCTGAGCATGAAACTGCTATAAAAAAACTTCAGACCGAGCATGAGACCACAATGAGAAAATGCCAAGCTGATCAAGAGACGGCGATCAAAAAACTTCGGACTGAGCACGATAATGTGATCAAAGAAATTCAGGCTAAACATGAGACCGCGATAAAAAGTGTACGTGCTGAACTTGAAAATCTACAGCACACCGCTGTCCAAAGCCTGCAAGAAAATTACGAAGCTAGAATCGAGACTTTACTTGCTGAGCATAAGGTTTCAATCCAGAGAATGTGTGAAGAAAATCAGAATCTGAGTAAAAAATATGAAACCCAAATTACTAATATACGTGAAGAAAAGGCTAATCTACTTATGGAGAATGAAGCCACGATCAAAACGTTACGGACTCAGCACGAGGCCGCAATCAAGACTTTGCAGACTCAACACGAGGTCGCGATTAAGGCATTACAAGATGAATGCGAAACTGCAGTGGGAAAAGCACGTGATCTTAATGATAAAGAATCGGTCTTAATAAAACGTTTACAGGAGCAACACCAGACCGAGATCGAGCAACTTAAACAACAACTAGTCGAGCAACAGCAACAGTTTAGCACTAGCACAGTTTCGGTGAGTGTTACGTTTGTATTGATTTATAATACGGTTCGGTTTCAAAAGGACGCAAGAGAATATAATTTTTTTATAATTATTTAAAGACATGATAGATTATTTAATAATAATTTCTTCCCCTTTAGGAGAATCGGCAGACGGGGAAAAACGGTCACAAAGAAAATGAATCCGATGCCACCGAAAAGTTGCGTCTGGAAACGCAAATTCAAAGACTGCACCGAACCGTAGCACATTACAAGCAGATTATTAATGATACGGTATGTATTATTGTTCAACTTATTCCTGTTCATAATGTATTTCCAGGATTTTCTAAACATTGAATGTAACAAAAATAACGTCAATTAATTTTACATGTACATTATACATTATATAGTATATCAATAGTAGTTTTCTTTTTAATTGTATTTCATGGATTTTATAGGAACAAATGTTGAGTCGATTACATGGGCATGTAGAACGCGAAGAGTCACGATGGTCACAGCATGCGTCTGACTTACAGCGACAACTAGACGAGGCGCATCGTCAACTGAATGATCGAATAATCCGGCAAAGTAATCGTCGTAATAATAACAGGCAAAAGAATCACGATGACAGTGAAGATGAAGACTATAAGGAGGATAGTAAAGTTTTGACGGAGACAGTAGTGAAATGAAAATATTACACCAGCTGCCGTGTTGGTTAATTATTAAGATAATTTTCGCGAAATTCGTTCAAAATTTAAACCTCGGACAGGGAAGTTTATATGTTATAATGATAAAATAAAAAGACAATAAACCGCGCATGTGTGCGCATAATATCATATTTTTTTTTAAATATAAATTATGATAATAATAATATTATTTTTAATTTTATTTATTACTATACTATGCATAATATGTGCGTCGTGATAAACTATTATGGTGTATTGTACATAACTTTTTATTTTTTAAAATTATCAGTATTACCACCTCGCGTGTAACCATATAAATTGTATCATCATTGTTCATGGTGGCAGTCGTTATTGTCTGTATTTCGTGTATGTACTTGTTTTTTAAATTTTTTTTATAAATTTGTATCATTATATAATTTTAAGTTACATGAGCACAAGTATGTTTCATGTATTATGGTTTATGACCCACTTGCGTTTTGTTATAAAATCATATATTATATACTAATTTATTATTTTTATTGTTACATTAACTACTATTATTATTTAAATGTAATAATAAAAAAAATTGAATACAATTATTGTGTTGAATATACCTTGTGTAAATTATACACCAATTTTATATCCATATTATTGTCACTTATTTACTTAATTTATTTAATAATTTTTAGTATTATTTATTCTCTATTACAAAGTATTATCTCATTTACTTATTAGTTATTATTTAATTTTGTATTTATACTTTTACCATAGAATAACATTGTACAATAAAAATGATGATTATGTTTTTTTATATTTATTACTATCCTATTATAGTTCAATATATGTATAAATATATACTAATATTATGGAAAAAATTATTTTTATTTTTTCACGCATATTTCTCTATTAGTTTTAGTTTGCCTGTGTCATGAAATAATACCTAAATTTAATATGAATCAAATATATTACTATTATCTTTTTTTCATGTCCAAAATAATTTTATTTACTTAAATAAGAATGATTAACTCCCATCGATTTATTATTTATTAAAAAAATGTAATATAAATAAATTATACATGTCATTTCCACTAATAATGTGATTTAATATTAATTATTTATAAATAAATAGTTATAATATTTGAAAAATGACTACTATTTATAATTTTTATTACTAAATGTAAACATTCATTACTTTTTTTATTATTGAATACTCAAACAGCTGATTATTGTTTTGTTAAACATTCTAGAAACAGAAAAATGTTTGAAGTATTGAGTTTTAGAAAATGTATTATTGAGTGTTATAATATTTTCAAATGAGCTATAATTTATTTAAGACTTAAATGTTCATTTTTGAAACATAACTTTGTGTATTGTATCTATATTTAATAAAAATGAGAAATTAAGTATCAAGATAACACTGATTCAATTACATACAGTACATATAGTACTATTTGTAAGTATCTGTAACTATAATAAATATAAAATACAATATTACTTCATTATAATAAACAGGTACTCTGTGTATTATAATTAACTTATAAATAGTGTTTTTATCTATCAATATATATTATACAACTATCTACATATTATTTTTATATTATTATTGTCTATTATAATAACCTAAATTAACCCAACATAATGCATGTCCAACTTTGAAACCAACCATATAATTTATTTATATATAATAATTATAATTTAATATAATACGTAAATAGTATAGTATTTTCTAAATACCCTGTCTTTATACAAATTAAGCACAAACCAATACCAAATAGTGGCAGTTTCTACATATTCTAGAAACCAGAATATTTAATGCCTAGTGGTAATAATTGAAAAAAAAAATCATAAAATATGTTTGCTAAGAAAGTATATACGAGTATATTCAAAAATATGCAAAATAAAATTTTACCACAAATTACTTAATATTTTAAAGAAATATTTATAATTGTTTTATTTAGAAATCATAATCTAAATTACTATGTTAAATATCTCTATGGTTTTGGTAGTATTTAGAAATTTACTCACATATTGAAACGCTCAAGTTCAAAATCCGATGGTTTTGCTATTGTTTTACATGGTTTCCGGTTTTAAGTTTTTTAATAATGGGTTTTTTTTATTATTTGGTATATATCTATTTAATATCACTATTAATAATACAACATATTAAAAACTTAAATTATTTATTAATAACAATTTTTCAAAACACATAAATAGCAACAATATTATAAAATATTTATTAATAAGTAATACAATACGCACACCATGCATAAATAAAAAACATAATATAGATAAAACTATTCAAAAATATGCAAAAAAAAAAAATCCACCGTTGATCTTTGAGTAACAACACGTTGAGATTTTAATTAGAATCACTGTAATTACTTAAATAATATATTTAGAAACATGCACTTGCATAGAAATTCGGGCCTTGAAATAACTTATAATTATACTCGTATATAAATAAATAAACAAATTATTATTTGTTTCTATATTTATCTACGAACAATAACCATTTAATAATTTTTAATTTTAATTTTATTTTTAACTAATAATAGTTCAAAAATGATTTTCATATCATCATCACTGATATTACATGCACATTTGCTTTTTTGTCTCTGTATTTTCTGTAATACTCAGGACTGCCCTTGTACTTTGCGGGGTCTAGGGCAAAATTTTTTTGGGATCTTTTAAAAAATATTCTTTACTAAAAAAATATTACAATAAATATCATCAGTACTATATTGGAGAATTTGTTATAAAACTTCTAAAGGTTTAATACCCTTTGACAATAATTCTGATAAAATTATTTAATCATCCTATAGTTATTTTCCATTTATATCTTAAGTCCTACCATTTGTAATAATATCGTCTATAATAGAAGACCCACACAATTCTTTATAAAATCTTTTTTATTCGTTTCAGGAATACTAATATCAAATAAAAAACTAAAATAATCATCAAACTGTTTCAATTATTTAAATCTTCTATTTAAAGAGAAAATTCCATGGAAAAGGATTGAAACAAATACTTATTTTTAAAACTATCTTAGGTATAGTAACTAGGTAATAAAATTAAAATATGTATTAGAAGTTTCATAATTAATTATTTTTTCTTTTAACAGTTATTTTGTTCGTAAGAAATTTATTCTTTGAATATTATTTATGAAAACACGGAACCTGAGATGTAAGCCTCGCTCGCTGGCTTAGTAATTTACCCTGGTAACACATGTTACATTTCTGTAAATTGAGTAACATGTTCCTATAATAATTTTTTACTGAATGCTCTTAAATAAATAAAAAAAAATAAGCATGTTAAGTTTGCTAAGTATCTTAATATACTCACACTTCATGAATACGCATAATGCAATTGCATTAATAAAAAAACTTTTTTTCTTCGCCAAAAATATAAATACACGACCAGTATTTTTAATTTAATTTACTGCTGATTTATATGCTAGTAGAAAATCTAAACGATAGGATTTCTTTAAAAAAAATAAATGCAATGTAATTAAGATTTCAGGTAGGTATTACTAAATATCTCTGCTGGGTGACCTTGTATTGAAATTAGTATTTCAGAGGACTTAGGGGATACCACAATACACATTTTTTGACAATTTTTGAATATTTAATCCTTACACTATACACATGCCCAATACAACTTACTTTTTTCTAATGATAACCCTAAATTTTTTATAAATATTCGGATACACTTTTTTTCAAACAATTTTTGTAAAAAAGTTTTTTTCTATTTTCAAAATTGACCAAATGAAAATAATTCAAAATTTGAAGTTATGTATAAGTAATTGGTTATTTACAAAAGTTTTGCCTAAAGCTCTAACTTATTAAAAATAAAGTCAAATAATTGAACGTCATTTTTGGTGATATTTTTGTAATCAAAATAATAACAAACGAATAATAATAATAATTATAATAATAATTATAATAACAGTAGCAGTAATATTAGTAGTAATAGTTTATAATACAAAAACAATTTATTCGATAAATTTATCTAATGAATTGTTCAATGTTTTACACGTTATGTTCTAAACATGATTCAAGTTTTCTCAAAAATTCAATTGGCGTTGCCACTTTGATTTGGTCTTCTCTAAATACATTACATAATGCTTGTATTTTCTTTTTTAAGTCTTAGTGATTGACAGGTAGATCTTCGTAAACCACAGATTTTAAATGTATCCATAAAGAAAATTCTAATTATGTTAAATCTGAAAACCGCTTCAACTAAGGAATAATACTCCATAAGTACCAATCCAGCTTTTTTGAAACATTTTATTTAAATATTGTTTAACTACTATTCCATTATGAACTGGTCTGCTTTTTTGTTGTAAGAACATGTGTTGTCGACATGCTGTCGCGTATCTAATGGAATATCAACTAACAGTATTGTTGGTTTGTTGTTAGAAAATTTAAATATCGTCTATTATTATTATTATATCATTAATAGGGCGTCACACCCGCATGTATTGTCTTTTTCTGATATTTTAATTTTTAAGTGTGTTATGAGTATGTAAAATATAACAATTAAAAAAAACATCATAACTCGCAAAAAATTAAAATATCGGAAAAAACCGACCAACAAAACACAAATAATGTTCTTCCCTTAAAGTTTGATAATAGGTCAGTTTACTTTAATATTAAAGTTAACATCACTACATTTGAACAACTGAATGAAAACTTACTATGTTGTATGTATATCAGCACGGTTCTATAAGTTTGCTGCCGATTAGCCCATTCCATAAATTTATTCCTCAAACAATTTGAAAATTAGTTTCACGTGACTAGAATGGGTTAATTTCATTCTAGTATCGATAATTATGTTCATTAATTTTGTCATTATTTATAAATTTTTATTCGTCAGTTCAAAAAATGTAATTAATAATTAAAAGATCATATTGAATAAACTACGCTATAAATTCCAATATTTTTTAAAACCTTTTACACACAAATGTTGTACATAATCCGCTTAATATGGATGCATTTTATTTTTTTTTTTTACATTTTTTTTTTTTTTAACTGAACCATATGAAACCTCAAATTCATGAATAATATTCTTAGTTAATTTGTTTAATTTTTTTATACAATATTGTTTGAAAAAAATTAATCTATCCGAATATGTAAAAAAAGAATTGCCAATGCATACCCACCGTAAGGATTAAAAATTCGAAAATGGTTAAAAAATATTTATTTCAATAAGTACCCCTTAAACCCTCTGAAATATTTATTTCAATACAAGGTCATCTAACAGAGATATTTAGTAATACCTGAAATCGTGATCACACTGTACATCCAAAATAATTAATGTAATATGCTTCATTAAGTCATAAGTAGGGCCCGGATTTAAATGCACTAAAAACCCTACAAATATGCTCTAAAAAATAGCCAAAAATGTCCTTAAAAAATGCATTTTATCACAAAAATGATCTTAAAAATGAAAAAATAATTTTTTTATTTTGGGCATTATTTAACACACTATTTGATACATTAAAATTACAAACACATGTAATACGAGCAATATTTGCAAGGTAATACGAACTAGCTGATTATTTATTTGATCGAATATTGGTGACGTTCCATAGTCAATAATAAATTAAGATAAGATAAAAACTGAATCGAAAATTAAGTTGACAATTTATGAAATAATTGAAACAATTGACAATTGATGAAAGATTGACAATGTGTATGAAAAATCCAGATAAACCTACTTAAATATTAAGAAAATAATTTGTCTTTTGATTTTATTTTGAATAGGCTAAATTTGTTTAGTATATCGAACAAATATGAATTAAAAACTAACAAAATGACCAAATAATACTAAAAATGTTCTAAAAATGAAAAAAACGTCGAAATATGCAAAAAAAAATGCAAAATAAAATTTGTAGTTTTGAAGCCCTCGTTACATGAAACGAATTCTTAGAGAGCATTGTGTATGATAAACCAAAAAAATATGTACTTTGCATTGAAATTCGGACCATAGTCATAAATAAAAATGTTCTGGAATAATATTTGAAAGTTTGATTTATCATACCAGGTAACCACTTTGTAGGTGAATGACTTATGTATATAGCTTTCATATTTTGTTTGAAATATGCAATTATTATAAGAATATAATATAATATAATTATTGTATTATAAAATAACGTTTCTATTCAAAGTGCAAACTTGTATTTTAAATTTAATGAAAAATAACCAACATTGTACATGTGAAAATCGTGACTTGTGCGAATATTCTTGGATTCATTCAAAATGTAAATAAAATGTTATGTGGAAATATTACATAAAAATTATGTTATAAATCTAATAACCAATCAATTATTTTATTAATCAGTTATAAAAATCAATTTTTGTCAACTGATTTATGAATTATTAACGATAAACATGATTTTTTTTAATAAGCAAATTGTTTCTAATCAGGTAATTCGATTAATCATATAAAGATTATTTTGTTAAGTAAAAACTTTTACACGTCTGTCAGCCGAAAATTATCAAACCAAATAAAACTACCCAATAGAAATGGGTCGGTAGATATATCCAGTACCATAGTACCAAAAATATTGTGACCGAGGTGAAACTTCAAAATGTGCCCTTATGTGTATTTAATTTAAAAAAATTATAATTATTAGATATTATTTAAAAAAAATTGCTTTAATATAATATAAAGGACTTCGAAGTTTTTATAAATAAAATAGACAACATTGATAGTTGTAATAGGTATTTAAAATAAATCGTTTAACTATATCTATTAAAATGTTTTAACAGTGTTAGTAGAACTGGTCACATTTTCGCAGGTAGTAATTCGCGACGGCGGCGGCAACACCGCGACTGTTTTCCCGGCGTCGACAGCCGTGGCGGCAGCGGTCGACGCCCCAGCCCGGCAGTAACACGAACCGGGTGCTGGTCACTACGTCCGCCGTCGTCTTCCCAAACGTTCTACCTCCACCGGCCGTCGTCATCGTTCGGTTTCACTTTTTTGCGTCGCGCCGCCCGCAGGACCGTGTACAATTTGCACGGTTATTGGCGACGGCGTACGTGCGTGCTTTTCGCCTCCACCGGCGCCGTGTTTATCCCGAGTGCGCGCGTGCGCGTGCGCATTGCACACGTAACGTATCCGTCCACAGCGGGTACCTCCGCCGTTTTCGCGATTATTATTTACTTATCTAAATTATCTGCCAGTGCGTCCGGTCGTGGTGTGTGTGTTTTTTTTTCTCATATCTACTACTACTACTAATAATAATAATAATCCTATTGCTACTGCTGTTACTACTACCACTACTACCATTTACAATAGTCTAATAGAGATAAAATACAATTTCTACCCATCGTGCGCGCGTGTCGACCGACGAGCTACACCGAACGGGAGTAATAGTATTAATTAATTAACGATTCGATTTTCGTGCCGGCCATCGGATAATCGTCGCTTACTATAATTACGTATTATCAAAGTTGGTTTTTTTTTTTTTTTTTTTTTTTTCCATAGTCTCCCGAAACAATTATTTTGCCGATACGTAAACGTATTAAATTCATTCAGATAGTGCAGAGTTCTACGACGTATTTTTATTTCAAGTGTTGGCTACGAATACTATGCTAATTCACACTCCTGCAGAAATAACTGTTCGCGATAGTGGCCTTCTGTGTCTGAGGCAAGAACATGTATTTTTTGCGTTTTCGATTCTACTGATTGTCGAGTGAAATACTACGACATTTTACTGTTGTTTCATTCTTTTATTATTTTTATCTGCATCATCATCAACAGTAGTTTATCAAATGGTTTTTCGATATCATGGAACGCCGCCGTGGTGGTGCTGCCGCCGTAGTTTTCGAGTCAATTCTAAATCGCAAACTACCACTGTTACTTGCAACAGCAACGCCGTCGGCACCTCCGCTATTAACATTGACTCGGTGTCATCGCCATTACATTAGTCGTTGTGGCAGCAACAATGACACGAGATTCGGCGGCGGTCGCCGCTTTAGACGACCGCCGCCGCTGTCCCATATCAGCGGCAGACGATGTTTCATCATTGATGACAAATAGTATCGCTACAAGCTGTTCAAGTAGTAATGGTGATGTTGGCGGTGGTGACGAAGGCTGTAGTCCAAAGTCTTCATCTGCAGTATCAACAACAACTAGCTGTTGTGGAATGAGTAGCAGTAGCAGCAGGAGTTGTAGTGATGATGATGATTCTGCAGCTATTGCTGGGCTTTCTACTGCCATTGATAGTTGTTCTACAGCTATTAAAACTTCACCTCTGCCATTACTACATAAAGAAGTAGTAAGTGACAATAATGGTGATAAAGATTCTTCAAGAAGTAGTAATAACAATGATGTAACTACAACTACTACTTCAACTAGTATTGGAGGACGTCTCACTTTTTATAAAGGTAATTAAAACCTGCTTTAAAGCTCTCACATTTAAACTTATTTTTTTTTTTTTTTTTATTTAATTTTAACTAATAAAATTAATTCATCTTATTAAATAAATAATTAACCAAGCTTTATAATAATAATAAAAAAATTTAGAATATTTTAAGAAGCTTAGGACCTTCCTGTTATCTTATAAAAGGCAAATTATTGTTAAGCATTTCTCTATAATTTATTAATTTATTAATATACTTTGTTGAATCTCTTGATCAGTGAAAATTTGAGTTTCATTCACTATTTTATAAAAATTATTATAAATAATTTACTTATGTTTTAATATTTTAAAACATATTATTATTATTTGTATTTTTAAGTAAATTTATATATTTTGATATTAAATTTTACTGTATAGATTATTTAAATAAATTTAATACACTTAGTGAATAACGAGTATATATTTTGTTGTTCAATTCTGAAAAAAAGCTAATGGTATTTTTTGCTGTATAAAATATTTGTAAAATCATGATTATAATTTGGCCTAAATATTATACATAATTTGTTATTGTTTTTACAAAATAAAAAAAACTAAAGCTAAAATATTTTTATACTTAGCAATAAATTATACTTTTATGTTACTTTTGTATATTAGCCACCTAATAATTATAATTATCTTCTTAATTATCATTCTGGTTTTTATTTATATTTTAAGACTACAGAAGTTTCATTAATTAATTAATTAATACAAAAATTAATTTCCTCTTATATTTCAGAATAATAGTTATTATAGAGTAAATTAAAATTTTTATTATTTTATTTACCCAACTATTTAGTGAAAAATCATTTTTATTAATTATTATAAATAATGATATAATTTAGATGTCTTGTAGAAGTATGTAGAAATTATTTAATTTTTAAAACCTTTTTCGTGAACTACATATATTTTTGCAAATAATATAATTTTCATTCTAAACAAACCAGGTAATTTTCAATAATTTTTTTAATCTTTTCTGTTAACACATTTTAGTTGATGACAGTTTTATAATCTTCATATATTTCTTCTAAAAGTAAGTAAACTATAGTAAAAGCCATACATTTTTTTTAACTTTAATTCAAATTTTGAATATTTTTTAATTTTTAATAATTTTAAAATATATTAATTTAAACAAGTAGAATATTCTTATACTTACTTTTTTATAATTTTAAAAATGAATTATGAATCAATTGATCAACTACTTTTATTTTATTAATGTTTTATTGTAAAGTTAAAGTTTAAAGATTTTTTAAAAATATTTTAAAATTAATTTCTTTCCATGTAAATATATAGAAAATTAAAATAATATAACTTAAATTATTGATTTTTCTCTGCGTAAAATTTATACTTGTCTAATTTATTATTATTTATTATTTAATATTATTATATCATCTTGTTGTGCTGAACAGAGCAATAAAAACTAGTAATTAACATTAAAACTTAATAAAATCAAGAACTTTTGATTAATTAGTTTTAATTAAAAAATTTTCTGACCAAACTCATATACACATTATTGTTATTTGGTGAATAGATTATTTTATTTTTATTATGGGCTACTAATATATTGTATTTTATTGTGAATCAATTATTATTTCAAATTATAATGTTAGATTTAAAATGTGTATGTGTGCGTTACATCAAACAATTTGAGTGCGTGTCTTAGAAAAATTACTATTAGTAAAACTATGTTCTAGAAAACTATATAAAATATAATATTAGAATACATATTTAGTTTATAATATGATTATCGAAGTAAAAATTATTTTTATATGAAATTATTAATTCAATTTTTTAAATTTGTACACAAATAATTTTAACCCTAATTTATACCCATTTTATGTATAAAAGTATGTATGAAGTAAATAAGAAAATAAGATTTAAAAATTTTTGCATTATAAAACATTGATTTTATAAAACTTCGTATTGTATAACTTGGCCACGGTTATATTTAACATTCTAAAACATGACTTTCTAAAACCTGCTCCAGTACCACGTTAAACATGATTACATTTTTTTGTTTGTAATAGCTATACAATTTTTGATACATTTATGCTTTATTTATGCTAATATATAATTGACTTATTTTATATATATATTAAATAGTTTTACTTATTATTTTTAAGTAGATAAAAGAGTAAATAATATATTAAAAAAAAAATCTGTTCTCTTGCAGTTCAATAACTATTCTGTTTACGCTGTAAAATAACACTTAATACTTTAAAATTGTACACTTTAAGTGTAACTTGAATAAAATTGTTGTTAAATCTGTTAAACTGAATAAATATACATAAAAATTAATTTCATAAATATTTGAATATTTAAATGCTATAATACAATGTGCTACTTGGATATAAACTAAAAGTATAGGAAAATAACTGTTAATCAAAATATTTAATGATGTTTTCATAAACTAATTTTTTTGCAGATGGAAAGTTTATATTCCAATTAGCAGCTCATCATCAACAGCATCCATATAATAACCAAACTGTTTTAACATCCCCATGCCGTTGGATACCAGTGCCTACAGTAACACAACAGCATAAAAATAATGTTAAAAGTAAAAGTGAATGGTCACAACATCATAAAAATAAGACAATTTGGCCTTACTTGGTTACCAATCCCACTTCTGATAGTAAGTCACTCCAAGCAATACAGCAATTGCAGCTACCAATAGCAAAAATAGGTGAACGGATATCACAACAATATCAACCGAGGATAGAAACGCCGCCACTTAAATCGAATGATGGCGCTGTTAATATAGCTGCTCATACTAATGCAGTAGTAATGGCAACAACAACAAATATTGTCCGAAGACCTTCCCGAAAGTGTTCTTCAACTACTGCAGTTGATAATAGTATAGATAAACATCATAGGCAATTGCAGTCCCATTTACAACCATTAAAGCGATTACAGCAACATCAACATCAGTCATTTATGATGGTTGCTACTAAGACGATTAAAGCTCAAAGACGTTTATTATTGATACCAAGGATGAAGCGTCGTCAATATCGAAAAACAAAAATAGCCATGGATAAAGATTCTTTGTTGCAAGAACAAGAACAACAACCACTAATCAACTTGGAATGTGTTGTTCGAAATCTATGGTGTCGACGACATACTACGGAATTATTGCTACGTAGACAGCTATCTTTAAACAATAATATAGATCTTGTAGCTTCTACTGATATTTCTTCAGCTTCTCGTATTGTTGCAGTTACAACTGTAGAGTCTACATCATGTACTAATACGGGAAATAGCAAGCGACGATCTGTGTTTTCTCCATTGTCTACCATCACTACTCCTTCTACTACGTCAATGACTAATAGTATTATAAATATTGCTGGTAATAATAGTCCTCATAAAAAATATAAGCTAGGAGAGCAGCAAGTATTACAACAACAACGACGTGTAATTGATAAATGTGTTAAAAAAACTGTTTCAACATCACTGCCACAGCCGCAAATAATTTCCACCAATGATCACAGCATAACAGCAATATTGTCTGGTGGGCCGGTAGGAGCAAAACGCCCTAATGGTTGTGGTATTACTACAGCAGTTGATACAGAAATTAGTGTCATAAGTAGTTCTTCTAATGCTATTACACCACCTCAGAAAAGTCATCCTGCACCTATTTCTTTATTGCGTACTTTGTTAAAAAGTCCCAATAGTGAAAATAATACATTACCTGTTGTAGCTAGTACAACTAGTAGCAATTACAGACATAATACCAGTAGCAATAGAAAAAGATCAGCAATTGATTCTACAATACCAATTGTTACAACTCCTGTTGCCACTACAATTGAAACTGGTCCTAGGACAACCGCAATGATCATACCACCTGCTACTGGTCTAGTTAATGATGCTGCTCTACATCAAATACCCTCTCTTCACCACCCAACTGCTGTTGGTCAATTGGCTGCAGCTGGTTACTTTAATGTGTTATATCATCAAGCTGCAATGGCTGCTGCAATGGCATATCAAACCCATGCACAGCTGCCAAAATCACAATCATCTTTGTTGTCTTCACAATATCCACATACTGTTGATGCCAGTAATAGTTGGCAACGTCAATTTAATCAACAACCTCTTTTACCGCCCTTAAAAATAATTAGTGGAAATGGAATTGCCAGTGTCTCATCATCTGCATCAACAATCGTGGCACCTTATTCTTCACCTTTGGTAACTGCAGCTGTAAATGGTAGTGGTTTATTGGCACCTGCTACTCCTTCACCACCACCTTTATTACTACATCCTCATTCTGTCCACCATCATCAAATGCTGTTACATCACCAACAACAGCAGTATCAACAAATACCTACAGTGCAACAATCATCATATCATCAACATAAACAACGGCAACAGGGTAACAGTAGTAGTGGAATAAAAAAAAAAACAATGGTAACAATGGGTGCCATTAAAGATGATAGTAATAAAGGTGGAAATAATTTAGCTGATGTAGCTGCTATAGATGAAGAGTCATCTTCATCTGCTGGTAAGTGTACTTATTGATTTTTTTTATATCAATTTTTAAATTATTTAAAACTATTTAATATGTATTTTTTTTGCTTTATAATTTTTCACAACTTTGATTTCAATTCATTGTTGAGAGTTAAATAAATATTCAACAATATACTGAAATTACATTTTATAAGTCAGTCTTATAGGTTTACAGTACTGCACGCGACATTCATTGACTTACTTAAGGATACAATATAAATAAAATGTGGTCTCACAATTTGATTTTTATGTTGCTTAATTAATAATTGAAGATAATCTATTTAACTATTGTATTTATAACTAAATACTTGTTAAGCATGTTTAAAAATGATAAAATCAATTGCTATAGTAATTATGAATACTAGTATAGAAAAATACATCACAAGATACATTTAACTAACTAATCTAACTTTTTGAATTAGAAATTGTTTCACATAGTAATTTTAAGTTATTATTATTTTTTTTTTTTTATGGTTTTTCTATGAAAAAAAAAAATTCTACAATTTTGTTATTTAATAAGTTACCAAAAAATAATTAAGACATATTACACAACTCCTTGTTTATGTTGTAAATAAAAAATGTCTTTAAATATAAAGTAACTAGCTGACCCAACAAACGTTGTTTTGTCATTATTTTTTTTAATATTTTGTAAAAAATAACTAATTTAATAATAAATGGTAAGGATGTGGTATATAAGTAGAAGAGGTATGGAGTGCTGTGATGACGATTTATTAAACAATAGTACTTCCGAAATTTTTTTTTTCGTAAAAACTTCCTGGCAATTACGAACAATTAAAAAAAAATTGATCCAAATTGACTCAGTCGTTCTCAATTAATGAAATGTTATACATTTTTGGTTCCATTTTTATATATATAGATTTTTATGATATAGTGCGTTGTACGAAACTCAATTGTTATGTGACTAATGGCTGAAATTAAATTAGGTTTATTTTAATATGATATAGAAAATGCAAATAAATAAATAGAATACTCTGAAAATTGAATTGGAGTGTTGAAAATTTTCTGATTGAAATATACTGAAACAGAAATTTTTGTACATCAATTGCGTTATCATTGAGTCCCTAATTTCAATTTCATAAAACTCTTTATAATAATAATTACAATAAAAAAAAAAGATTTAATCATTTTTATAATACCTTAGGAATTTATGATATTTTTATCATATATTATTAATATTTATCTTAAAAGTATGAGTAAATATATATATGATCTCTATAATTTTAATAATTGTTGACTTAATAAATAATTCTATTAAATATAAACAGGTTTTTAGAATATAGCCTACCAAATAAGGTCAAGGTTATTCATTTCCAACATTAAAATATTGTGGTTTTAACATCAGAAAAATGCAATTGTATACTACTGTTAAACGCATTAAAACATTATTATCATAACTATAATTTGATGCACATAAAAAAATATTCTAATTATTAGGTAATACTGTAGATCAATGTGAATTTACTTAAATATAAGTTACCTTTAAAATAATTAAGTATAATAGTTTGCAATTGATTATTATTTAATGTTTGTATTTCAATACACCAAATTAATTTCACTTTTATGTGTATTAATAAATAAATATTATAAATTAATATTAATAAATTTAATATCCATAAATAAAGTATATGTTTTTATACATAAAAATATAACCTATTAGGAGCAAAGAATAAAAATAAATGATAAAGTCTCATGTTAAATTTAAAAAGATATTACATTTTTTTCTTCTATTAAAATAATTATGAATGTTTATGCATAGTTAAATTGATATCGTTTTGTTTTGTTTTAAGATTGTATGCCACTCAATTTATCCAAGGATTCTGTTGCTGAAAATGTTGGTGGTACTAGTTCTACTGCAACAGTCAGGTGACACTTGTGCGGAAATGACTTCTATAGACGAGCTATTAGCATTAGACTGTTTGGCCGTTTTGTAGCGGCTAGTTAAGTATACTATTTTATTGTCATGTCAAATACTATGTACTTGAATAATAGGCAAAAATGTTTGTATGAATAAAAAAACAACATTATTATTATGTTTTGTAAATAAATACATTCACATATATATATATATATATGAATATATATAAACGTATATAATCGTTTATTCAAATGTGACGTTTTGTTTTAATATTAATTTGTAAATAGACATTAAACGAAAAGTCGCGTGTGCGTGTTGTCATAAGAAAATTATTTGTTACAATAAAAAACAATCAATTATAGAACAGTTTTATTTTTAATATTTCTATAACTAATTATACTAATCTATGGCTGGCTAAGATAGTTCTATCTAAAGTTGAATTTCAAAATACAATCTTAAAATCTACAATTATTTTTAAATTAAAATTATATTTATAGTCAATATCGAATTAATAATATTTATTTTAATTATTATACCAATACTTAAATGTGGCCAAGAAAAAAAATCACCTAGTTAATTAAATATGTGGACAGTTATATAATTAATAATTAAAAATAAAAATATCCAATAATCATAGGTGTAATACTAAAATAATAATAATAGTACAAAAAATAAAAATAATTTTAGTATGTTTGGGTAAACCAATGAAAAGGATTCGGCTTTAAGTAATATGAATATTAATAGATTATTATATATGTATAAAAATAAAATAATATATTAATGACAAAAAAATTGAAAATCTAATGAATTATTTAGTGGTGGTATTTGCCGCCAATTTTGTCCTATATATCTTGTGTTTTGCATAACATCACAATATTTGGTTAATGATGACTACTACTACGCGAAGAAGACATAGTAGGCGTTCCACTAGCACATAGTGATACTGCAATTGCAGCTGGAGACTGATTTGATCCTGCTGATGGTTGTCTACTGCCACTACCACTGCTATTACCAGTAGTAGACATGTCAAATGGTGTTCCCCCACCTATTGATGGAGTGGCACTACCAGCTTGTGGATTTTGTGAGCTTGCTGTAGCTGCTGTTCCTGAAGGTGCAGACGACGAAGATGTAGCAGGAGTTGATGGCATTGTAAATGATATTCCAAGAAGTGCAGCGATTGGTTGCCATGGCTTACGTGCCGACCGCCTTAATTCTCTACCCGTCATTCTAGATTTCCTTAGCGATCTGCAAAAAATAAAAATATATTGATACCAAAATAATGAACACAAGTATGATAAAAATATAACTGAAGTAGCATGTAAATTTATAATCAAAAAGAATCGCCTAGATTTTTTATCATACCTGGATAAGGCGGTGCATCTATAGTATAGGTCATCCGGAGCATCAGTCCATGATATCACATGTTTTCTACCAGTTCGGGCCATCGACGGTGTCCTATAATGATTATGCTGTTGTTGTGACTGTTGATGTCCAGTTGAGCTACCCGATTTACCACCAGTGGCAGTCAACTGTAAAGGACCTCCACTTGTTGAACCACCTCTTTGTTGTTGCTGTTGCTGTTGGTGTGCCACAATTGATGCCAGCATACCATCCACAGCACCTCCTCCAGCTGCACTACCTCCTTGTAATGACGATGTATTTGAATTTTGATGCTGATTATGGTGGTGGTGACTAGTGGCCGATTGTTGTTGCTGTGAATGATGCTGTCGATGCATACGTTTAGACGGTGGTCCAGCCTGTGGTTGCGGTTGTTGTACAGCTAAATCATTGAAAAACAATAATATATTTATTAATTAAATTACATACATACAGTTAATATAGTCTCATACATTATAATTTAAGACCTGTAGTACAATAAAATAAAAAATATAAAAATAGGTAGTTACAAAAATTATTATTTTTTTTTAAAATTTATCACCATTAAACATATTTAGATTTGAATGTATTCAAATAATGATATATATTCATATAATGATTCATTATAACTATTGTTAATATTCAAAACTTAGATAATTTCAAACTTAAACAATGGCATATATTTTACATTTCACATTGCCTGTAATATAAAACTAAATAAAATAATATTTAATAGGTAACTAAGATTTGATTAGCATAAATAGATAAATATTAATTAAATAATAAATCAGGATGAATAAATTTGAGTTTCAACTACTAAAATAATAAAAAATATAATTGACTACGCTTACCACTATCTGTTTCATATAACCTTCTCTTATTATTGGACGAAGAGCCTTGTAGTTGTTGTTGTTGATGCTGTTGTTGTTGATAAATTGCAGCAGCAGCAGCAGCGACGTCAAACCCCGTCGATGGATCATTTGATGACCCCGAGCCTGCAGTATTACTACTATTAACTGATCCTGGAGGTCCTAAGGCTCCTAGTATTGCAGCCGCTGCCGCAGGGTTCAGTCCAACAGCTGCTGCAGCTGCTGCGGCCGCTACAGCAGCACTTGGATTGTTTAATGCAGCAGCAGCTGCTGCCGCCGCTGCTGCTGCTTCTTGTTTATTTGGCACCCGTTCATACAACAAACTACCATCTACAAGAATATCAACACATGTTAAAATATTTATATTCTAAGATTAATGTAAAATGCCAGACTTAGTCAATGCTTGTAATACTTAGTAAATATAATTAATTCTTGAAATATTCACTTACCTGGAGCTTTTGGTGGTTTTGGAAAAGCGACGCGACTTCCTGAGGACGTTCTTGATGAATGTTTGCCATGTTTTGAAGATGAAGAAATATGGTGATGCGATGACTGATGTTGATGCTGCTGAGATGGCAGTGATAGCCAGTCTGGCACAGCTAAATCGGCAGCAGTTGCAGTACTGATCCCACCACGACCCCTCCTGGCTGCAATTAATGCATTGGCTACTCGAGTCACTCCTGGTCGACGAGCATGTGATTTTATGGCAGCAGCTCTTAAATATGCTTTTAATTCTTGGACTGGAGCATGCTGCATTGATAACATACCTATTTAAAAAAAAAAAAAAACATAACTCATTATAAATACTTTTAAAAAGCTAACGTGTATCAGACATCAGTATATTCAATTACAAAGTATACTGAATAAATACATAGTACAACAATTTATAACCAAGGAGATTATAGGGAACTAAAATTATTTAAAACAAATTAATCAACAACATATATGTCTTATTATTATCTAAATCCTTTTTATATCTTAGATATACACTAAAGATGAATTGCAATGAACAGTATTGCATAAATTAATATTTTTAACTACTTTATTCATTGTAAAATGAATAAATAATTATTTTATAAATTTTGAATTATTTATGGATAATAAATATAAATTAAAGTAAAATAAGTCTAAATATTTTTGAAAATTAAATATTTGTCTATAAAAATTCAAATTTTTAGAATTTTTTGATAAACCTAAATATTTTTAGTAAAAGAAAAAAAAACCATTCAGTTTTATTATTTTTAATTTTATAAAAAAAAGTTTAAATTCATGCAACATTAAATATAATTCATACTATGAATACCATTTAAGTAAAAGTATTAAATATACGTCAAACCTTATATAAGTTGATATAAAAATATTCTTACATTCATTTTTATATGTATGTGCTGCTTGTGGAACACAAATGAACGGCCTACGAGCCACATTTCTAGGACGAGCTAAACATCCTGGTTGTATTGTTGCTGAAGCTGTTGGAGATAATATCATTGCTGTGGAAGATGTATTGGATGAAGACTTTTTCTGATGGAGCTGTGATAGAGCAGCGGTTGCTTGTTGCGCAGCTCGGCGCCTGCTTGCCTTTGCTAATGATGTACATCTCAAATAAAATGCAGTCCTTGTCTTCATAACTGGCCGTCCGGTGGCTGTCATAGCTCCTCCAGCACCAACAATGTTGTTAGCGGCTATGCCACTTGTAGAAAGGTTATTGGGCTGTTGTTGCGGCGAAGATGACGATGCCACAAGATTAATTATTTGGTTAGCGGAATTACTAACAGCATTAGAATTTTGAATCGAACTGCTGCTATTGTTTAAATTTAAAGGCCCTCCAGAACTGTGGTGTAGAAGACCTGAACCGGTATTTGTTTGTTGCTGTTGAGGTTGTGGTGATAATGTACCACTACCGCCATCAATAGCAGAATTAACTGAAGATCTACTTCCACCCCCAGTTGAGTTGATAATAGAAGGACTACTACTACTGTTAGCATTTATCCCAATTCCATGTGCAGTACTATAATGACGTAACAGTTGAGATTTACTTTTAAATGGAGCTGCTTGGCAACCAATTATAGTACATCTATGAACTGTTGTTGATGATCCGGATGAATTAATATGCGGCTGATGTAGTAATAGACTGCCACCTCCAGGTGAAGTTGTCGCTGATTGTTGTTGATGGTGGAGCTGTTGATGGTGATGATGCTGTGGTTGATGGTAGCTACTATGGTGACCACTTCCACTACTGTTAAGATGCATTAAGTGGTGATGATGATGCGGAGGAGCAGATACAGTTAGCGCATGTGATGAAGACCTACCACCACTAGCAGATATATTCAAGTTCATTGCTGCTGCTGCTGAACTGGATGAAGCATTTGAATGCGGGCGATCTGTTCACAAATATGATTAATTTAATATTTAATACAATAGGAATATTTTTTACTTATAATGGTAGCTTATAAAATTTTTAGAAAAACAAATGAAGGTACAGGGGAAAAATGGTAATAGTCCATTTTTTTCAATTTTGATTTTGTGGCTTGATTCGATAGCAAATTAGGAGTGGCGTTGACTGTTGAAATCGATTTAGTGAAAAAATCTTTCAGTCTATAATAATTTTAATTACATATTATCAAAGGTAAAATATTAAGTATACTAATAAAGAAAAATAAAATAAGAAGACTTAGGTTTTGCTCCCCTGAAAAATTTATAGAAATGGACTACTGCCATTTTTCTTCAGAACCCTTCAAATGCAATAAAAAAATATATGAAGATAATCTTAGAACATAAAATTAAAAATTAGGGATTTTCACACCAAGATGATAACATAATTATTAAAATGTTTAGTCAACCACGTCTGAAAAGTGATGATTCTCAAAATTTGTGTGTAACAATCCTTCAACTGCCACTTGAAATATAACTATACTACTTAATTAGAAGTAAGACTTGAATATTGATTATGCATAGTAAATATAAATTTATAGAACCTTCATCTCCAGATATACTTCCTCCTCTTCCTGCTGAAATAACTTTTTTATCTGATGTGGCAATTCTAGGACCTCCATATTTTTTCCAATGAGTCCAACATTCATGACATAAAGTCGACGACACCATTGAAGATAATCCTCCATTTTGCTGATGATAAGATACTGCAGCTCCAGACGGTGTTGCTATAGTGTTAGGATACCATTGTTGGGAAGCAACAACTATTTATAAACATAAGATTTATAAAAATTACATTATTAAATTAATAACTCATTAAGCAAACAATATTCATTATTCTACTCGAGTATATCTACAAAATGTATAATAAAAGCACACACTCATAAATATTATAATGTCTTCTCACCATCACACAAATCGCACATTCCAGGCAGTAATGGGCCATCTCCCACTGCAGACGATCCACTACCATTCTTTGGTGAAAACAATTCCACAGCTCCTGAATTACCATTAACTAATTGCTGCTGTGAGGATTTTACTGTCACAGCTGATGTAATAGCTTGATGTTTTCCACTACTTGTTGTTCCATTACTACATGCCAGGAAAAATTAAGTATTATATATCTAATACAGTTGTAAACTGATACACACATGCTAATACTATATGAAATAACTGAACAAATCATAATTAAATATTGATGGTTTACAATTTATTTATACTTCATAATGTATCTATGATACTTAAATTAACTCTTCATACAAATATTAATAATATGCTCAAAATGTTAAAATATTACAATATGTTACAAAGATATCATTTATTGGCTGAGGGATAATAACAGCTAATGAATTATTTACCTCTGGAGTTATCATAAATAGTCAAGATTTTAACCGATTAACTGTCTTACTGAGCAACAGGAGCATATCAAAGGAGGAGGGGAAGGGTTATTTAAACGCATTTTGACAACTCTCAAAAAGTTTAAACTCTCTCTCCATCGACATTTAAACAAGTATTGAAAGATGTAATAAAATTTAAGTTAAATTTTATGAACATCCACCAAGGTTATTTTATTATATAAGCGATGGCGGTAGTGGATAAGATTACGGATGTATATTTACTATTTTATTCCTTTGTTAAGTGAAAATTATTAAACACCTCACAAAAAAAATTTCTAGGCACGCTCCTGGTATGTTAGAATATATCATCATCATTGTTTCATCATTAATAACTATTATACATAGAGTTGAAAACCATATTACTTTTTACGTAATTCTTTGATAAAATTTATTTATTTATTTAATATTTTTATTAGTATTTTTAATTACTTGAGTTTTTTTGAAACTCTATGTTTATTATTTATTACTATATATTTTTATTCACAATAATCAAATGAGTTTATTAACATTGATAACTATAAATATATAACAAAAAATACTCACTAAGAAGGTATATAGACTTGTTTCAATTTGGATTCCTGCTCCACTGCTTTTACTCGTTTTTGCTGTACATATCTATCAGTGGTCTTCCACATGTAATAGTATTCGACAATATTTTTGTGTGTCTTCCATGGAAGCTTTAATTACCATATACATATAAATTAATTAAATGTGATTCAAATATTACATAGTATAAAGGGTTAAAGATACTAGGATAGCATATGAGATAATTAATTTAAGTAAAATACATACAAAATCGTGACGTATATCGCCAAAGTCTTTTCCATATTTTTCTAAGGCTTCCTCAAACAAATTTGCTTCTGATGCAGACCATTCTTCCATTTCATCACGGCATAATACAGGCCCTGTACTAGGTACCAAGGAACAAGTTGCGGTACCTAAATCATAACCATGTCTGTGCAGGGTATCCATGGCATGAAACTGTTGTATAAAAAAAAATTCATGAAGTCAATAGATTATAAAAAGAGCACTTATAACAACAGATAATGCTTTAAAAAAAAAAAAAAAAAAACAATTACAATAAAGTATCAATGTTGTTACCTATGAGAACTAAAAATATATTTTGCAATCCATATAAATCATAAACAAACTTAAAATTTTTAATAATCTGGACATCTCAACTTGAATCATGTATATATATATATATATATTTAAAAATGCAATCAAAACTTATAAATTAAAACTATGAACTTCAAGATCTAGTAAATATAGTAATTTAAAACTCAGACAGGTTTCGGAACATCACAATGTTTTAATAGTTAATAATATAAAAGCACCTTAGACGACAATCAACGAGCGAAATAATATATTTAATTATTGTAAAAAATATAAAGTATATGGCATAATCAAATAATCGCAAATGAATTTGAAATACACCATGTAAATACACTTTTTTTTATAAAAGTTAACTTTGAATTAATTCATAATTTTTTTCCAATTTGATAGGTAAATGTGTGCATATTTAATATTAGAACTAACAAATATAAAATTGTATGACATTTATAACTCAGAATAAACAAACCTATTATAATATAGTTCAAATTGGATCATAAAATTTAAAGTAATACGGGTGTTATGATCCTAACCAGACCAATACATTAAAATTGTAATTTTGCTCATGTCTGAATATATCGAAATTGGGTTAACCTTAACCTAATCTGTAAAAAAGCAAGTAATACTTACCAAGGTGATATCTCGCGATGCTGCAGCAGCTGACATATGTAACGAAGGTTGTTTCACTGAGCTGGTACAGTCTAAGGCACGTGCAAATGTGCCTAATGATCGAGAAACTACCAAGAATTGATCAATTTGTCTATCAGTTAAACGATTCCATTGTGGTCTGCATGTCCAAATCAAAGTTTCAAGATCAGAATCACTTTCCACTGCTGTTACTGTTCCTATGGTAGTTACTGTTGCTATTGCAGTAGATGACTTTGAATCAACTTCTTTTTCATCTTCATCTCGATTACATTCTGTTATCATTGGCTCGTCTTCAACACCGTCAATGTTATGTTCTTCTTTAACTATATCTCCTTTAATTGTAGTTGTTATATCCTTTGTCTTTAAATCGCTAACAATATTCCCTTGGCTATATAGCGCTTTTGGGGGCACCTCAGCCTGATATTTATGACCAACACGTATTTCACCTTTATCAGCTAATAGTGTTTTCTGAACGGGGTCGAATACCAAACAATAGAAGAACGTATCCTGTCAAGAGTAAAATGTTTTACATATTTATCTCAAGTTTTAGAATATCATTTAAAAAATATTGATTGTAGCTCATATTAAGTAATAAAAATAGGTAGGTATGTTAAAATACTAAATAAGTAATTAATATTGCTGATTATTAAAATTTCATTGACATGTGTTTTTAATTATTCTAAATACATATTTAACAAATTATTTATTTGCCCAGTTAGAAAGTTATAATTTAGATTATTAGTAAATTATATCATTGTAAAATAATTTTAATATAATATAATTATAATTATATTATTATTAATATAGCAATATTTATACTAGAGATACAGATAACACATAAAATATTTGTAAAAATAAATGACAAATAAATTAAATTGAATAAAAATTCTCAGAATATATTTTGATTTTGTTTAACTAATTTCTGTATTAAGATCATAATATAAATTACCAAACATTTTTAAAATAAACAAGGTGAAATAACTAGTGTAATTTTTATAGTATTTATTTAACATATGGTATGAGAAAATCAAAGTTAATATTGTATAAAGTTTTAATTAGACCCTTAACACTATATGTCTGTGAAATGTAGGCAACAACAAAAATTGATGAGAACAAATTGGGTGTTTTTGAAAGAAAAATAGTTTGAAAAATTTTTGAACCAAAAAAGAATGAAGAAGGTGAATTTGAAATTAAAACAAATGAAGAGGATTATTTGGAAAAACCAATATTATAAGAATTATAAAGAATAGCAGAATAAGGTGGACCAGTAATGTTTGGAGATCTGAAGGAGCATTGGGGAGCATAACAAAATGGAGACCAAACACAAAACAGCCCTTTGGGAGATTCAGACAACAATGGACTAATAGAATCAAGGAAGACCTCAGGATGATTGGAGTGGAGAATGTGGAGGAAGTGTCAAAGGACAAGAAAAAGTAAAAGGACGTTGAAGTAGCAGCGATGGACCTTAATGATCTTTAGATGCCTTAGTAGTAGTAGACTTAACATATGAGTTTTACTTTTTTTAATATAACAGATGCAGGGCTGCCACTGTGTTTACAATTTTAAAAAGTGAAAAGAGTGGCTTTTATTTTTTTGCCCCATCTAACATCCCTACTGCTACTTGAACATTAACTAAATCATTACTGTTAATTGCTTTTTGAAGTCTGTCAGTGGCTTCTTTTGAAAATGTATAAGTTGCTTTTTTCTGTTTTGTTTCTACCAATTTAGCATTTAAATATTGTTTTTCTTGATTTAAAATGTTTTATTTTGTATCTAACAGTTGTTTCTCATATTCTCTTCTGAGTTGTTGTTCTTCTTCCTTAAATTTTTGTTGATTATCTTTTTCTGTTTTTTTTTTTTTTTTTTGATTCTTCTAAAAAGTATACATATTTAGAATGTGTAAGTCTTGCAGATAATAAAAGTTATTTGGCCATTGGAATTAATTCTGGTTTTTTTATTATATCGAGACAATCCACCCTGTATGTTAAGATGACCATTCAACATACGATAAGAGATTGCAGATTTGTCATCAGTCAGTATGATTCCTGATTTTGAAAAATGGTTTGAAAAACTACGTTCAACTTCTGCACTGTCATGTGATAAGGTTAAACAGGTTTTTAACAACTTTGGTGACTGTTGGATATTTTATCTCGCCTAATTCAGATTTTAATTCAAAAATATTATTCCAAAAATTATCTATTCTTGTTTTAGTTTTTGGTAATAACTTAAACCTTAGTAACTTTCATTCATTAACCAGCTTATTAAAATCAATCTTAAAAGGCATAATATTTGCATTTTTATTAATTTCAATACTACTCCTCGATTTTTTAATTTCATCAACTTGCAAGCATCTAAAATATTTAAGTTTTGATGAATCTTTAATAGATGACTTGTTCAGTACATGATTTCCAGCTGAGACTAAATGTTTTCTTACATTTCTTAAAAATATTTTTTTATCAAGTTCATATAAATTATTAAGATGTATTTTCAATTCATTAGGAAGATGAACAAGCAAATCACTTATGTCCCTTAGATCAACATCACTAAACAAATCAAAAATATTATTTTTTAACCAATCACTTACAACATTTTTTTTGCACACATAACCAACAATAATACATACAAATAGACTCAATTCTTCATACATTATGTGTATGAGCGGTTCTTGACGTTGAAATGTACCTGTGAATCTTCGAAAAAAAAGACGCAGACTAAAAAACAAACTCAAACTACTGCTTGAAATGTACTACATTTTAAACAATCAATATCTTTTTTTATATTTTGATGTTTGGTGTAAGCTCTTTTGATTATAAGGAATACATTTTAAAAAATATTCTGAAATTCCAACCCATTGTTCAGTAATACGTGCGGTGGCAGAGCTCAGTGTTAGATATCTCGATGAACAATGTTTCAGAAACTTATGAACTGATAATCCTTTATCTTTTTGAATTTTTAAATAGTCTTCCCCACGTTTAAGCCAACCATGAAGAATGTAATAAATATCTATGACAAAATCTGAAACTCTAGTTCCCATATATTCCAATTCTTTCAAAAAACTATTATGAATATTACATGTTCAATAAGACTCATACCTCGAATAATTTTGATATTTTCATTGATAAATCTAAATACTTTTTTGTTCACATATGGTCCATCACTTCCAAGCATCAATAGTTTTTCAATGGGTATGTTACCATTATTCAGTGCTTTCATTATGTACTCTTCTAAAATTTCTCCAGTGGCAGTACCAATAAAAAATGTTTCCAGATGAATGATGAACAACTTCTTCAGTTCACTTGAACTAGACTGTATAAATAATGATTTAATATTGTTTTTTTTCATTGACATTGGGTTCAATATTGGTCGATGTATTAGGAAAACTGGCTGAAAGATGAAGTTGTTTTTCTCCAAGTTTATCTTTATAATTTGAAATGTGTTTTGAAGTATCTGCATGTTGCTTCAATACTTGAAAACCTTTCAATTCACAATTTATGGTAATGGTACAATGCAAAATACTTTGGGGTCCGAGTGTTTCTGTCCTCACGTAGATACTAAATTACCTCTGGAGTCTTTTGTTTGTAACCACTCATCATTCACTGCACATTTACCCATGACTAGATATTTTCAAATTAATTAACAATATATACACTAATTAAAATTAATTTAACATAAAAACAACCAAAACTGTTGAATAAACTGTAATATACTGTTGAATCACATTTAGATGCTTATCAATCCGGCTATCCATTGTATTAGATTATTAAATATAAACAAATACTATAAATAGATTATAATTTATAATATTTGATATGACTTAATCCTGATAACGTGTTTAGTTCAAACACAAACGATTAAAGCGCTATCTAGTATAATAATATTATTAAAATATCAACATAATATTTCAATTAATTCTAGAGCAGTAGTTCTCAATCTTTTTAAGACCACGACCCGAATTTTCTTCCAAAAATCTATCGCGACCCCATAGTTTTACATTTACAGAATCAATAAAAATAATTTCAAAAAACAAATTTTTTTTATTTTATTAATTATTTACTACTTTGTAATAATAATAATAATTATTATTATAATAATATATTTATAATAATAATAATAATAATATAATACTTAATTAATAATTAAGAGTATGTGATAAATGTGCTTGTTTTTTAAAATCTCTATAATTAAAAAAAACTTCTTGCAACCCCCCAAAAATTGACTCGCGACCCACTAGGGGGTCTCAATCCACAGTTTGAGAAACGCTGTTCTAGAGAATATAAGGTATGGTTAAAATTATAATATTATCTTAATAGATTTAGATATTATGGATAGATAATAATAAAAAAGAGACATAATATCAGATTAAGATCTTGTATAGGTAAAGAATGTGAGAAAAGTGACAATTTTATGGAAATAGTGACAAAAGATGACAGGATTTTAAAAAAGTGACAATAAGTGAGAAAAGTGACTGAGTGGCAGCCCTGCAGATGAAAATTTAAAAATCAGGAAATAGTAATAATAAAGATAGTGTTAAACAGTTTTCAACACTAATTGTTGATATTTTTTAAATATTCTTGAGTATCTAATGTACGGAAACAGAAATATTAATAATATAATTATTATAATTATTAATTAATAAATTATTATTATGATTATGTAAAAAAATAATTTAGTTGTTTATTTAATTATTTATTATTATGAATAATAAAGTAAAATATGGAATATTATCATAAATTATACCAAAATGTTTAATGCAATTTATTTATTAAATATTTATTTTATTATATTTTATTTATTAGCCTATATCTATAAAATTGTTTTTCTTTTTTTAAATGAAAAATAAAACTAAATGAAATACTAATATACATATACATAGATTTTAACAGAATATATAAGGAGCATATTAACAGAAATAAATAAAAATTGAAGAAATCCTATGCTTAACTATTATTATTTGCTTAGCTATACTATTGACTCTTGTCCATAAACAAATAAGGTAACGGTCCAATATGCAATCAACGTTCTGATTTTTGGCCCAATACAAATTAATTTAATTTAACCTATAACTTAATTTCATACATTTTTTTATTCCACATCATAGTGTCGTTAATATTGTTTTAATCAGTTGAAATGTCTTTTTCATATCAGCCAAAAAATCATAAAAAGGGTTCTTGGCTTTCGACACGATCCTCACTCTTTTTGGAGCTATCTAATAAAAGAGATGCTCCATTTTTTTAAATATTGTACTTGAATTTTATAATTCTACACAAGCTTTCAATTTGTTGAGTATGTACTCCTGTTTATAGGTCAATAAAAATTTCTCAGTGGTTAATTGTTTAATGAATATATTTGTGATTATGTAAGTGAAGGCAAGTATGTGAACAAAAATAGGATAAAATGTCTATAATGACTGGAGTTCAGAAGTTATGACCAAAAATTCATTAAAATATGCAATTATATGCTTTAAAATGTATTAAAACCTATATCTATTTTTCAACAAATATATACAAAAATATAGATATTATTAATAAAAAATAAATTGTATACTATTTTGAATGTGTATTAAAATTTGATTTGTTTGATAATACACAATGATATAAAATATGAAGAGTAAAAATATTAGGTAAATTAACCAAAATGAAATTTTACATATACTTTAAATATCTGCATACAATACGTGGACTGCACTATACAGAATGAATAATATATAAACAAAAAATAAAATATGTCTCTATTTTTTAACTAATTTTATACTCGTTGGTAAATCCGCCAATGTGACGGTCGGATAAATAGTTTTTATAAATAAGCATTAACACCATTACATGCGACACGGCAGTGACTCATGTAGTCGACGACACAAATGAAACCATACCTTAAAGCAGTGGTTACCAACTAGTTAATCGCGATCGACTGGTCGATCTTTTTAGGAATATGAGTACTGATGTGCCGTGGGTAAATATCCAACGGGTAGGTAAATATTTTGGGTATTTACCCACTATAATAGTTACGTATCAAAAATTTGGGTAAATATTTTTTTAATCTGGTCAAACTGTATATTTCTATTTTTACTACTGATAGGTATCGATATCATATAACTGATACTACAATCATTGATTATAGAATTGATATATTCTATAATCAATGCTACAACTTATACTACTACTTCTAACTGATCAATACAAGTTCTTTTGTCAAATGTTATTTAGTTTAGTAATAGTTTTTTTCAGTCATGGGTCGGGTAAAAGATCCTGTGTGGAAGCATTACCATTGCAGTGAAGACAATAACAGTGTGCTGTGTAATTTTTGTGATAAAATTTGTCAAAGTGAATAAAATTAATAAAAATTTCATAAATATAATTTATGTACTCTAATCATAATATTATAATATTATCATTATAATCAGTCTTGGAAAAACATAAAAAAGTTAAGAAAAAATTCATAAAAAAGTATTGTGATAACCATGGATTAGTTTAAGCATTTAAAATAAATTTATCCAATTTATCGGGTAAATACCTGGTATTTACCTGAAATTATATTTACCGGGTATTTGCTCATCACTAAATATAGATCGATCATTGTAAAATTTAATTTTACCACTATTAGTCGATCACGTAAAATAAATAAACCGTTTAATCTAACAAATCTCTTCCTGAAGACCTAAATTCTCCTGGATGTTGATCACCAGTCACCAAATGTCAAATGTAGCACTTGTTTGAAAAAGTTGGCAACCCCTACCTTAAGGTATGTATATTAATTCCCAACTACGATAAGTTATTTTATTTATTTTGTATAATTTTCGATAGCTCATATTCATAAATACTAAAGACATACCGTTAGCCGACAATAATTAATAATATTATAGAACATTTTTAATTGTATATTTATAATTTATAAATAATATGTTATTAAATCTAGAAATAATTAATATATCTATTTATATACTCAATAATGTCAAATATGCAAATATATGCAAAGTAAATTTACATATTTGAAATCTAGCTTATTTAGACCATGAATCAAATTTGTATCATATTCAGGTATAATTCTGATTATGCTAAAAAAATATGCAACCATAAATATCCAAGCTTTACTAATGACATTAACAGCAATAAAAAAAACCCACAGATTAATATATTAATACAACCTATCGGTAGGTCAACTAACATTTTTAAATCACATATTGAACCATTACCACAATTAAAGTATACATTTTTTGCACTTACCTCTCTTTCCAGGTAACTATCTAATGATTCAGTTTCATTATATAATGTGACCGTGCACTTTCCACGTATGTGTGTTGCTGCTAATGTTTCCACTTGTCTGCTAAGGAATAATTCCCGTTGTTTAAGTTGTTCACCACGCCACCAATCATGTTGTTGTTGTACCTGCGTTGTCTTGTCATCTTCATTGCCAGTATCTGGAGCTGAACGTTGATTATTAAAAATAAATAATTTTCATACAATTATTTATTTATAAATATAGTAAACTTATACTCAATATATTTACATTTATCATTTTTATCATTGCCATCTTCATCTCCTTGTGCGTCATTTTTAACCACATTAGATGCAGAAATATCAGTTTCAGCTACTTCTGCCATTTCAACATCCTGTTGTTGGTGTTCTTCTTTTACTGTTTCAGTTACTTCAGATGATTCTGCTTTACTACCTGTTTGTTCTTCTTCTGTTCGTAGTTCTTTTTTCATAGTTGCTGGAGTCCCACTAGCACCAATATCTTGTTCTTTTTTATCTACAGTTACATCTTTATCAGTAGCTTTAATTGCAGCCGTTTGCTTTGCGCCGCTTTTAATAGTGCTACTTCCACTAGGGGATAATGATAATGTTAAAGACAGCTGTTGCTGTTGTTGATGTTGCTGGTGTTTATCTGCTAGGGCAACAAGTTGTGCCGGCAAGTCTCGTCTTCTATAGAAACACATAACTTTAGCTTCAACATTACCACTTGCAGTCTTGTTAAGCTCCTCGATTCTACGTATTTGGAATGGTTGCTGCTGCTGCTGCTGCTGCTGCTGCTGCTGCTGATGTATAGACTGCTGTGGCTGCTGCTGTTGTTGTTGTTGTTGTTGTTGAGCCTCAAAATACACATAATCTACAACAAATAATAACAAATATATAAATAAAATTACATCATGTAAACACTTTAATACATATTGTATTAATGTTTATTTTTATAATGACATATCATCAGCTATGTAGTTTATCTATGCGATTGTACATATCTATGTATTTATAAGCATCATTATATTTATAAAGCTATGAGGACTTTAAGGGCTAAACCTCTCTAAATTGATCGAAATCCTTAAAATAATCTATTGATTTCATAACTAAATAATAGTATAGTGAGACTATAAAAGGTTAATTATGTATGAGGAATATGGACTTTACTACGCAACTAGTGATAAGTGCACATACAAAGACATAAACAAATAAGAAATTGACACTCACCTCCTACACGGTACATGTTGCTACCGCCAGCACTATTATTACTGTTGCTGTTGTTACTGCCACTGTTAATGGCCGCCATGGTTAGCAAAAAATTTCGCACACGTTCCAGACGCTTAAACACTAACCGACCAAATCGCTAACCCGTGAATTGCACACGATATCAAATCGCTATAGCCAATGGTCGTCAATCAGAAACCTTACTGGCTGCTCTAAGCCGACGATGCAGCTTAGGGCATTTTACCGTTGTACTGCGCTAATCACCACCGGCCGGTATCACGTTTGGACGAGTGTGATGTGCGTTCGCAGAAAATACGACTACTAAAGCGTTGTTGTGTCACACTACGAAACACAAACAACACACAGAGTTGTAAACAAACAACGACAACCAAACAAATACGTACGTACGACGTCGGTGTTTGTTATCCTTAGCACATACACAGACAAGCGAACACACACACACACACACACGCACGCACACACACACACACGGTATAACACGCTGCTGTTTTGCGGTTTATGTCGCGACGGCTGCGCGGCGTAGCGTTTGTTGTTGTTATAATTTATGTGTCGTAATCGTCGTGTAATCATTATTTGCGACGGCGTCACCTCCACCACCATTTTGGAGGTAGCTAACGACGCCGAATGCACTTCGTACCACTACTCTCGAAACATGCAATGTCAACCGGCAGTGATCGGCTTGGGCTAATGATTATGATCAGGGCTCATAACTTATAGCATTTACATATTTTTTTTTGAGAGGTCCTAGAAATACGTAAGTGAGCTATACATTTGTTTTAGATAACTAAGAATCTAAATGCGAAATTTTATGTAGCAAATTTTTGCATATTTCAAAGTATAAGTGCTATTTTGCTTTTTTTCTATTTTTTAGACTTATTCTTGCATATTTAAAAATGTATTATTTGCTATTTTGCTTTTTTAAATCTTTTTCAGTTCCGTAGTATTTAAAACATTTTTTTCTTAATGATAAAAAGTAATTATAATAGTTTTCATTTTTATATTTGTAATTAATTCATGTTAATTAACTAATTCTTCTTCTTTAGATTTAAATTATATATGTATTTGTATTAAATAGGGACGCGATCGGAATTTTAATAATTAGAGCTTAATTTTTTTTATACATGATATATTTTTTTGTATATTTTTGTATTTTTAGTGCATATTTAAGCGCTTATATAAATATTTTTAAAAGCATATTATAGCGCTTGTAACTACTTTTTTTAGAGCTATACGTTATGAGCACTGCTTATGATGAATACTCGCCAAGCCTAACATTTTAGGTTTAAACATATGTATATGTTCATTAGTAGCCGATTGAATATTGAATATTAATCAATCATAGATAAAATGCTAAATGGTATAAATTGTAAATTATATTATAATATATTGTATATCATATTATAAATTATAACATTTATCATTCAACGATAGTTTTAACTTATTAGTTATTCTTAATTAAATCATTCAACAAAATATTTTAATTCCTTCTTTTTGTAAATTCCCTAAATATCTTGAACAAGATCAAATGTAAAATAATCTTCAATTTACGGTTTAAGTAATTTGATTGCATTTTAATGACATGAAAAGCACTCAACAATAAATTTCGACAGAAATAAAAATTGTTCTACTGCAACCTTGAATTAAATACCTGCATCTTCGTTTTTTTATTAGGTAAATGAACAAATGTTTATTCTTTTATATGAATATGTAATTTTAATTAAAACGAGAGCTCGAACACCAGGGACACCTGCATACATGACACAATGTTTTTCCAAAATATATTTAAAACCCGTTAACCTAGGTTTAGATTATGAACATTAATAAAACATTACACATACACTATACATTTCCTTTATAATATATGCATAGTAGTATGTATCACCTATAATATCAAGATACAAATTACTCTCGAAATATTAAATAATATGTTGAACATTATATCTATTCAATAAAGGTCAATAATAATCAGATAAAACTATTAGTTTCATCATTATAAATAGATTTAATGTTTCATATCTGAACTATAAACAAATAAAACTTCAAGGAACATTACTAAAGCAAAAGTAACATTTAAGTACATGGTACTATATGTAGATACTGGAATATAAAAATAGGTATAGATACTAGATACTGGAATATAAAAATTTAAATTTAAAAACAATTATATTTTATTAAATTTGAAAAAAATTCGATTAATTTCGGAATTCTAAATACTTATACGTTTACTTACATATTTTGAGCTTGATATGCTCGATAAAAAAAAAGGTTTATATTTTAAATATAGATATGTAGGTACAATTTTTAAATGTGAAATAACATAGGCGTTACTTCAAGAGGCCTTCACAATAGTTAATCCTTGGGGACCTTTGTCCCAGACGACCAGACTCGAGGAAACGATAAACATACTGTCAAAAACATAAAAAAATACATACAATTTATTATTTTTCGTTTTACAAATGATCAAATCGAATTAAATTATAACTTTATTTTAAAAGCGGTTTTTTGAAATATTATTTTTCAAAAAATTAGATTTTGGTGGTAAGCCATGGTCCGTGAAAGTACAGAGAATGTGACACAATTCAAACTCTTTTAGCGAGCAAAAGTTACTTATAGATGTAGGCAGGGGCATAGGTATAGATTATTAATGGAAGGGGATTTGACATTCAATTATTAGTAATAAATTGATAAAAAAAAGTACAAATACAGGTATATTAATAAAATTATTTTAATATTATTTTTAAAAATTAAATATTATACAAGTCAATTTAATTGTTACCTACGCTGTGTTAGTTTAAGTGGCGACGCGTGAAAAATTTTATAGGGTAGACAACAAGACAACTATGTATATGGTGTTATATAAAATTTATTTAAAAGCTAGATCATCATAAGAAAAGTAAATTACATAAAATAACTATATTTGAATAAAATTTAAATCAATTCGCCGATTTTGTTTTCTTGCGAATACATCTATTACATTGTTTATAAGTAGGGAACGGATTTATATGTAATAAAAATACATAAATATGTACATATGTATGTAAGTATAATTTATAAAATATGTACTAAAACCATCCAAATATGTAGGAAAAAAATTTAAAAAAAAAAAAAAATTATAATTATTAAATTATCAAAATGATTTGTTGCATTGAATAATTACAATATATTTTAAATTATCAAATATTAAATGTCGCCTATTAGATCTGAAAATATTTTTAAAACGGCTAAATGATCGTTCCATATCAACCTACATCGGTTGATTTAAGCATATTTGAAGGGCATAATATTAGAAGGCGATAATTCCAAATTTTTAGAAGGGTGTCTGCTACTAATTTTGTCATTAATTGATTTAAAATCAATATGGCCTGAAATTTTTTTCTGTAAAAACATGAATTTTCTTTTTTACTACTTCTCCTATTGGTCCGTTTACGAGTTTTCATTTTGCAATCGTTGATTCGACAATTTGCATACTTTCATTCAAGGACATATTTTTGTTTCTAATTTTTTAATTGTATGTGCAATAAAACTAAAATTCATTAAGATGAAAATTAAATTTGTTTTCAATGTTTCATTTTGCATAATATTTTGAGCTTTTCTAATAGCGATAAAAGTTCTGGATCTAAATTTGAAATAATTTTTTGTATTTTTGTACGAAGAAGACGTATGAATGATGAAATAATAAAATATGTTTAAAAATATTTACAAATTAGTGAAATATGTAAAAATATGTAATTATACCAAAATATGTAAAAATATGTAAAATAAAAGTAGCATCATATTAATAGGAATGATTTAAATCATGAACATTTCTTATCAAATTTTAAATATCTCGTTTTAATAAAAATATGTATTTACATATAAATCCGTTCCCTATTTATAAGTGTTGGATCTTTTGATAATTCACCTAACATTTTTTTTTCAATAGCTAAAGTAAACAAACATGAAAGTCTATCATTTGTCATTGAATTTCTTAAAAAGAATTTGATACGTTTTAAAGTACTCATGAATCTTTCACTTGAGGCTGTTGTTGTAAGAATAGTTAATACTAATTGAATAAGTTTCATGATTTCTTGATGTACTTCTTGAAGCTCATCTAAAATAATGTTTATAATTATAATTTATTTGAAAAATTATTAAAAATATTTGAGAAACGTTTCAGGTTCTTACTTTTAAATATAAAATCAATAAATTCCAAAAGAGCGAAATATTTCAATGGATCTGCATATATTATGTAAAGTTCATTTTTTAGACGATCTTTATCAAAAATATCTGGATAGTATTTAAAAAGTTGTCTTACTTTTTTTTTTTGGAAAATTAATTTTTTATGATGTAAAAATTTTTTCATTTATTATTTCAACAAACTGAAAATCAAATATTTATTTGAACTATTAATGAATTAATAATTTCATACGTAACTCAACGTAAATTAGATTGTTCCTCATTTGTATACTTTAAATCTGTGTTTAATTCAACGGATCATTTTATGATATCGTATATGGAAGTTTAATTTCTCAAATCTTTTAACCATGAAGTAAGACTTTTAATTTTGTTAACACAATATTTAATATCAGTAGATGATTTATTTTGCAGAATACAAAATGTGTGATCAGTAAATATAAATATTTTACTAAAAAGTACCAATAAGTAAACAAATTTTCGATTTTTCATAACACTCAATATACCAGATGAAGTACAAACAGAAGTAGAATCCCAGCTAGGGTCATCAACTACATGAGATACGGCATTTTTTAGGTCATTGAAATGAGTTTTTATAGTTAAACAACTCTTGAATGATAATTCCAACGTGTATTGCATTGATTTGGTAATTTAAATCCTTACTCTCTTAATAAGACACTTCTTTTAGAAAATCTACTAAAAAATGTGTGGAACATAGTAAAGTTTGTTATGAATTTAACATCTTTTATTGATTTTGCACCATGAAATAAAATTAAACTCATTTGATGAGCGTAAGGCCCTCCGTACATGAGACGATTGTAACGCGACACGATTCTTGCGCGATTTAAGCGATATATGCGATACAAGCAATCTGTGCGATTACGGTGGCGCACATGATGCGATTGTAGTGCGATTATATCATCGTTATTTATGTATTATTTGGTTAATATCAGTCGTTTACTGACGTTTGCTCCGATATTTGATTACCTTTTTTAAAATGTTGAATTCATGTAGTGACGAAGAAAAAATTTTTACGTACTATTTGTACAAAAAGTTGGTTGGTAGAAAAAAGCAAGAAAAGATCATCGAAGGAAATTTAGGATTCATCATTATATTCAAAGAAGTAACTGCTGTCGACTTTTTGTTTCGGCTAGAGAACTTCAGGAAACCGACGTTAAATTTGTTACATTTTACAAAATGTCAAAGGAATCATACAAAGAAATTGTAGATATTATATTTCCTGCCATTTATTAGAAGAATACCAACATGAGAGAATGTGTGAGTGAAGAAGAAATTTCAATTTCAATTTCAATTTCAC